AAGTAATTAAATAAGCTATAGCCTTAAAACCCGTATTAGCTATATACAACCCTAAGAAACCAGTAGAAATTAAAACCGATGTATTAAAGTACGCGATCGGAGGAGTACTAAATTAATAAGACAACAAAGGGAAACTTTATCCTATAGCGTTCTACTCCCAAAAGCTTAATAAAGCCAAACTTAATTACGCAATCTACGATAAAGAATTCTTAGGAATTAAAAGCTATCTAAAATAGTAGAGCTAATACTACAGAGGAAGTAAATTTTAAATTAAGATCTTCACCAATTATCGGAATATTACTTACTTTACATCTACTTAGAAGCTATTTAGACGATAATTAGGATACTTTAAATTCCTAAGTAAGTTTGACTATAAACTAATATATTATAAAGGATTAGAAAATAGAAGAGCTAATGTATTAAGCAGAAGAATTAACTACTTTTAAGAAATCCCTGATTATTAAGGCACTATATTACATTAGAATATATAAGGCAATTATAAATAAAGATCTTTTAATATAATCTTTAAAGTATAAGAATATAATAAACTCTTTAAAGAAATTAAGGAGTATGTAAAAGATTAGGAACTATATTAGTTTCTATCTTAGGTTATACTCTAGGATAGATACCCTATAAACGAGAATAAACATTAGGTACCTCCTAAATTATAAAAGAAAGTTATAAAATATATTTATAAATATCCACTGTTTAGATATTAAGGAATTACAACTATGTATTAATAAGTGCTTATAATATATTGATTTAAAAGAATAAAGAAAATTACTGCTAATATTATAGTAACCTGCGATAAGTATTAATATACTAAATATAAAAGATATAAACCTTATGGAAAACTATAACCCCTGCTAGTACTAGAACTACTATAGGAAATAGTTACCTTTAATTATATTACAGACCTACTACCTTCTAGGGAACCTTTTACAAAGGTAACCTATAATAGTATCCTAGTAGTAGTAAATAAATTTATAAAGTAAGTATACTTCCTACCCTACTGGAAATTATACTTGGTAGAAGACCTTGTATATATATACCTGAGAATAATAGCAGCTGATTACGGTATGCCTTAAGAAATCATCTCTGATAGAGGATGAACTTTTGCCTCTAAGTTTTAGTAAGAACTTATAGTAAGACTTAGAGTAAACTATAAACTCAGTAGTGTATACTATCCTAAGACAGACGGTTAGATAGAATAAATAAATTAGATTATTAAGTAATACCTAAGATATTTTATTAATCTATAGTAAAACGATTAGGTTAATAAACTACCTTTTGTATAGTTATGCTATAATAGTATAAAATCTAAATCTACTAAGTTAATACTATTTTACGCTTTATATAAATATACTCCTTTAGTATATAGGCTACCCCAGAAGGGACCTAATGCTAATAAAGCGCAGCTTTAAGCTAAATTAATAGTTAACTTATATAAAGAACTTAAAGTACAGCTGGAACTTATCTAAAAATGTATAGAATATTATATAAATAAGGATAAGATTAAGGGACTAACCCTTTAGGAAGGGGACATAGTTTACCTACTTTGATATATACGAGGCTATAAAATACCAAACATTAAAATAAACTAACTAAACGATAAGCTTAATTTCTAAAAAATCAGCTTATTTAAAATTTTAAAGAAAATCAGTAACGTTAACTATAAATTAGAAATACCAGAAGGTATATAATTAAAATACCCTGTGTTTTATATGTTACTCTTGGAGAAAGTATAAATCGACGAAGCAATAGGAAGACTAATCTTAGATAAAATCATTATTATTAAAGATAAAGAAGAATAGGAAGTTGAAAAAGTTTTAGCAGTATAAAGGAATCTAGAAGAAAACAATAGGATCAAATACCAGGTTAGATAGAAAGGGTATAACCTAATTTATAACACCTGGGAACCTGTCGAAAGTTTTAATACAATGGAAACAATTCAAGACTTTCAAGAAAACTTAGGATTATACTAAAAACTCCTAACGCTGGCTACCTAACAAACAAGATAACCTAAGAAGAAGAAAGTATATAAGTTTCCTCCAATGGTACAAGAGGACCTAGATCTTCGAACTCTAAACCGACGCCTAAGGAAGACTAATTTACGTTATTAGGAACCCCCAACTGCTGCAGGTTATGTACTGCAGACTGCTCGGCAGCTACCTCAGCATCCTCTTCCTCTATACCCCAATAAAACAGCTCCTTACCCCGCTCTTCAGCCTTCTTACGCATTTTTCAAATATACAATAAACGACTTAAAGCCTCAGCCAGCTAAGTCTAAAGCTTAAGTATTTAAGCATTAAGAGACTCGACTTACTCACTAATCTCTTCTTCCTAACGCTTTAACGCTTAACGTTAAGCTAACACTCTTTCTACTAAAGAAATCGTTAAAATACGCTTATTAATAAAACCAAAGAATACCCACGAGAACTCACTACTAAGACACTGTTGCACGATTTTCGCGCTTTTACACAGTTACTACAGTAAGAAGACGCTCCTAATATAATATACAGCAGTTTAGTACAATAGCATTAAGTATAAGGTATATTAGTAGATAAACCTGAAGCAAGTACCTGTTTAGTAAGAGAAACAGTTTCGCGTTTTTTGCGAATAGGTGTAAGACTAGACATGGTGCTATAACTATAAAGGAGGGAAGTTACCTACCTACGTCGCACGCTACTGCCTGAATTAAGTAGCTAGGCCCTGTCTTAGATCTTGAGGGCAAGACTAACAGGAGGGGGGCATCGTATTACGACCCAACCTCTTATAATACTATAAACAGGTATCCCGGAATATCTATTAGACTATTCCAGCCAGTTAAAAAAAAAAACAACTGCGCAGTATTATTCCTCCCGAAAAAGAACGACTAAGCTATATCGTTCTAATATAGGAACGACAGTCAACTAACATTCTAAGCGTATACAGGAATAATATACTATATCATTCCCTAAAAAACGACTGAATATATAAGATTCAATTCTCTACACTCTTTAGATAACTTAGATAAACAGTCGTTAATAAAGCATTAAGATTAAATACAGACTAAATCTTTATTACATCTTACTAGCTTCGTAATTACATCTGCTCAAAGCTACTTCCTGTCCTCTCTGCCAACATAAACTAATTGACCTTGGCTTATTACCTTGGGAACTTACCCTATACTATTTAAGTATTGGGTCAGGACGTCACAGTTTATTAGTTTTATTTATATTTTTTTTTATTAATAATAGGGGCTAGCCTTTTACTACCTATAGAAAAATACTTTAAGTTATTAATTCCTTTTTAAAAGTTTTTATTATAAGTATTTTTTTATAATATAATTTATACTTATATAACCCTAGGGTTTTTTTTAGCTTATTTTTTTAATAAATATAAAAGCTCCTACTATAATAAAAATCCTAATAGTATTTAATTTATTTTTTTTATTATAAAATATATTAGCTAATATTATTTTAGTTAATTAAATAGTTTTTTTTTTACTACTTAATTTTTTAAGGTTTTTAAACCTTCCCTTAGGGTTAATATAAAAAGTAATAAAATTTTTAAAAATAATATTTAAGTATAAGTAAATTTATTTTACTACTACTAAGGAAAGCTAAAAAATATATTACACTAAGTAAAAGTTAATAACTATAGCTATATTTAATATTATATTTTATTTAGCTTACTATTATATATTAATTTTATTAATTTAGTTTATAATTTTATTTTTAATAAAAGATTTTCTTTTTTTATTTAAATTAGTAGCTTTTTTTATATTATTAAAAATAAAAATAATAAAACCTTTTAAAGTTATTTATACTATAGTTACTATTATTATTATACTTAGTTTTACTTTATTAAAACTAAGTAAAAGTATTTTATTTATACTAAAGGTTTTTCTAAAGTAATTTTTTTTTTAAAGGTAAAAGGGAAGACTATAACTTCTCTTATTTTTAAGCCTAAAGAGGTTACCTCCTTTAGTAATTAAAAAGCTATTACTAATCTAGGGGTAATAAATTTTATTTTATTTTAGTTATCTAAAGGGTTTATAAATATTTTTATTTCTCTAAGGTCCTTAGATAAAACCGTAAATAAAAAAATTATAGTTGTTTTATCTAATAGCTAGTTAAACGGGTGGGAGTTTTTAGTAGTTAGGCACCTAAAAGGTGGGGTACCTGTAGATGTAGGAGGGAAGCTTGACTTGGCCGAAGCGATGTGGCCATACTAAAGGGAAATCTGTAGTGTCCAGGGAGGAGGCCTTCGCACGAATCGAAGCAGCTGTGGATGCCCGCAATGAAGGAGTCGATATTGTTATCAACGCTCGCACGGATTCTTTAATTCTCGGATGGGACGAAGCAATTTATCGCGCAAAGAAGTTCATTAAGATTGGAGCAGACATGGTTTTCCTAGAGGCTCTTCCAGATAGAGAGACGATGAAGAAGACGGTTGAGGCCCTTAATTTCCCCGTCATGGCTAACATTATTGAAGGTGGCTTGACAGATAACCTCTCACCTGAAGAGCTTGGCAAAATTGATTTCTCAATAGTTGTATATCCCTTTACAATGGTGGCAGCTAGGGTCAAGGCTGTGAGGGAGGCATTGGAGTCTTTGAAAGCGAGTTTCACAGCTGGGGCTCCTCCACGTATCATGTCTGCCGGAGAAGTCTGTGAAGCTGTTGGCTTCAACAAGTACTGGGAGCTTGAAGAGAAGTATAAATATTAGTAATATCAATTTTAGTTGTCTAAATGATAAAAGGGCTGTGATTCACAGAGACCTGTAGAAATGGTATTAAGAATTTCGTATAGATATGAATGTTGTTACCATTTAATATGGTGGTGTCAGTAAATTCCGTTCCTGGTTTATGATGAAGCTGGCTCAAGATTATGAGCTGTTCTCTCAGAACAGAAGATCTCAGATGAAGTATACTAACTTATTTCACTCAGCCCTCCTTATGATATAAGAATGCAACAAGATTTCTGTTAATATATAATCTTTGTCTCTCAGAGGGCTAGAATGCATTTATAATTTTGTCTAAACTAATGGCGCTTCTTTACAGTCTCGATGTCCATTGGATAATATTTGCCACCTAGGCCCTATTCTGATCTTTTGCCCTTCTCGCCGCAGCTTGACCAGCCAGTCGGCCAAACACTGCACCCTTGACTAGACCCGCAGCGCCAGGGTAATTGAATGCGAAGAAACCTCCGCTGATCTCACCGACGGCCGAGAGACCAGGCATCTTCTCTCCTTCATTGTTGAGAACGTGAGCGTAGGGGTCGGTCTTGAGGCCACCGTATGTGAACGTAATACCTGCGCCAGATTGGTAAGAATAAAACAAAATGCATTATTAACAGACCCACAGATGGGGTATAAACTTACCACATGTAACAGCGTATGCAACGAAAGGGCCTTGATCAATCGCCTGGGCCCAGTTGGTCTTGGGGATAGCCAGCTTTGTTCCTGTAGACAGACCATCCAAGTGGAAAGGGTCGAACTGGCCCGTCTTTGGCACTGCGGCATTGAATTCTCGAACCGTATCAACAAATTGCTTTACATTCAGGCCAAGCTTTTGAGCAAGTCCCTCTAAAGTATCATCAACCACAGGCGTGGCGGTCGAGTAACGCGGCTCCAAAGTCTTGAGAACTTTTTGGTCGAAGATCTGGAATGCGACTGCTTCTTTCTGCTTGGCAATCTGCTCTCCAATGGCAGCGTAAGTGAGCTCGGACGTGTTTTCGCCCTCATTCACAAATCTCTGTCCGTCCTTGTTAACCATTATGGCAAAAGGATAGGAGTATCGGCTCGTTTTTCAGTCAGCCTGAGATCGCCAACCGCGGGGGCATTGTGGTCGACGGGAACAGCGTGACAACCGCCCCAGTGGCCTGTAGCTTGTGCTCCGTGAGAGATGGCATTCTCGATCATGGTGCCCGTATTATAGCGGCATCCACGGACTTTAGCGAGATCCCACCCCTGCCCAAGGTACTGACGACGAAGGCGGGGCGATGCTTCGAAGCCACCACATGCCAGAATGACCTGGCCCTTGAAATCGACAAAGCCGTCCTTCTGGCGTGCGCGAACTCCGAGGATGTTGGCGCCATTGGTAATGAGATCATAAGCAGGAGAAGAGTAGTGAGCATCAATGGAGCTCTTCTCTACAGCCGCCCAGAGATTGTCGGTCAGACCAATGCCTTCGTTATCGGCAATTAAACAAAGCCCTGGGTTGATGTCCACAACATCTTGTGTGATTTGATCTTCGCTGAAGAACTTGCTGAGTGCAAGCTTCCATCGCACTCCCTGGTCGCGCATCCACTTTACAGTATCATAGGAATGATCAAACATGACATGCATTGCCTCTTTATCGCAGTGACCGCGAGAAGTCTCCAACATCTCATTTGCATATCGCTCCTTGGTGAAGGGCACGAGCCTTGCGCGCTTGGCCAGATATTTCCAATCTGGGTGAATCAGCGGCTCAATATCCTCCATGCCATTGTGGATGATCCTGAATGCGGCAGACGCAAAACGACTATTTCCGCCACGGTAAGCTTTGGGAGCTGCTTCGAGGATGGCGGTTCTGGCGCCAGCTTCGTGAGCAGAGAGCGCAGCAACGAGGGCTGCGTTGCCGCCCCCGACCACAATGACATCATATGAAAGACTTGTCATTTTGATAATATGACCGTAAATAAATTGAAACTGAAGGTCTGGGTCTTTGGAACTGGTATGCTTATCAAGTCGCTGTGAGATGACCTGAGAGCCAGCTTTCGTCATTGACGATGGCACTTCGTAATATATATTCTTTTACTTCTTCCTCGCCTAAATCGTGTCTCTTAGTAGACGGAGCGGGTAGGATGGAATCCGGAGCGAAGCGGCGCTGAATGGGTGCCGTGTTGTCCTGGAGGGCCGCTCCGCTCCGAGAAAGGAAATCAAGTGACCTTGAATCACCTTTTTTCTCTTTCATTCTTGATCTTTATTCCACTTGAAGGAAGCAACCTTCTCCCCATTGCTCACTTTCACAGTTAATTATGCCTAACGCCGCTTACATTTGGACTACGCATGACGATCGTTGTCCACATCAAGTCAATGCTTTTTGCTCCAAGCTTTGCTCATTATAACACAATAATGACGGTTAAGATTGGTTGTATATATAAGCTTCAGTTGAATCTAGAGTCTGCTGGGGCTGCAACATTGTTAGTACAATGGGGATCACACGTTAAACATCACATTTGATCAGGCTTATTTCTGCCTACATGACGGGCATTCCAAGCTAATAATCCTTAGAACTCCCTCCACCTTTCATGAATTACATCAAATATCGGAATCAAATCCATCTGCGGTCAGATCCATTCCTGACGCCCATGCAAAACTAGCCCAGTCCATGTTGGTTTGAGCCTGCAATTCAGGTGTATTTGAGCTCAACGCATGTTCTGTGGCCGCGGAAGCTGCCTCCGACACTGCGTCTGATCCTATTGGAACTTTGGAGCACGATGATTAGTGAGATTCCTCGAAGCAAGATGCAGCGATCAACAACCAGTAAACAACGGCTATTCAGGGCATACGAACTCGTTGCGGAAGAGTTTAATCCAGTACTTCGTTGTCCTCCGACGTTATCCCTCCAGTAAAAGAGACAGTCATACGCTAGACTGGCCCCAAATCGGCGTCGATGAACCAAAGATGGAAGCTGCCAACAACCAGGCGTGCTGACGGTGTCTGTGCTCAGCCAAAGCTGGCGCATGATCTCGGCATGCCGTCCTGCAACGTCGTTATTTTCCACCGAGCATTTCCTCATGGCGCTTATAGCCTGGTTTAGGGTGGCGTTTCCCAACTCTGTGTCAACATCCGGGCTGTAAGATGAGTGAAGGACTTTGAACACAGCTCCCGCGGCGGTGAATAGCATTCGGAATAAGTGAACTGAATATGCGCAAAAAGATTTATTCTAACGTCCACTTCAATAATATATGTGATAAAATTAGTCGCAAAATTGTATGCTTCTAGCACGGCGAGTCGTCTCTCAGGTGAATCGGGATCGAAAAAGTGCTGGATCAGCAAAAACAGCTTCACTGCCGTATAGTGAAGACGAGTTAAGTCTATTCATGTGTGACGCCAGACTGCGCAACCAATGAGGATCAAAAATATCTTACCGGAGGTTCCATCCATCCCCTGGAAAACGTTTTCAAGATCAGCTTCCAGAGCTCTGACAAAAGGACCAACATTTGTCGGCTCTGGTCCCTCAATCTCTGCTGGATTGTCGAACATTGCTCTTGTAGCTTTACCAAAGAACCCTTGTAGTTCGGTTTGAGATTTCAGTGGCTGTGAAATGCGTGGAAAATATTCATCTCTGATCCTTCCTGTGAGAGCGAAATTGGATAGTGTTGTAGGAAGTGATCCATATCCCGCAGCATTGTTAGTTAAAGTAAGCTATAGTTCAAGGCAAAATCCACGCTACGTCACTTACTTGTGAGCTACTATAGTACAGGCGAGCCAGGTTCGAATCTTCTCTGTTCGAAGAGGTTCTGTGGAAATGCAGTTTAACCGAGAGAAATAGCCAGGTTGATCTGGTTGATATAGACCCAACTGAGTGGCCATGCTTAGTGCAATTTCACCCCATACCGGAGTATTTTCAAGTAATAGTGAACACGTTGGGAAAGGCCAAGTGCACAAAAGCAGCAGCGATTGTATGGTGGTGAGTTTGTTCCCTCGTGTGGAAATTACTTCCCAAGCAAGCTTTGTAACACAGCTGGATAATTTCCTCAATAGACTAACGTCGCGCTCATAACGACGCGCGGCAACGCTAACTATGGTCCAAAATAACAATGTTGACTTGAATAAATACTCATCGGGCATCTGATCAGGATCAAGAAAGGGGAGGAAGGGGTGATACGAAGTAAAAAAACCTGCTCCTGGTTAGCTGCGCAACACCGCGGATACAATTTTGCCATCAAATAGAACATACACATTGAACAGCTCATTGATGTGAGTATTCTTGAGCCGAACAGCTCCTATGCAACGAGAAATTGCATCAACAGAAGCGGGAGATGATACTGAAGGCAGCGTACGACGACTATTCGGCGGCAAGAAGTCGCTTCCCGTGGATTGAGAAGGTTGTAGAGACGGATCGATAGCTGGATGCACCACCACCTGTGACACATCTCCCTGATGACCTGATATAGGCGGTGAATTTTCCACTCGTGGTCTATCTTGGGGTGTTGGTGCTGTTGAGCCTCCTTGCTGAGAATGTTCGAGAGCATTCATGAATACTTCCAAGGCGCTTTTCCAATTCATCAAATCGCCTGGATACCTCCATTATAAACTGATCGTGAATGACAATGTTTGAGTGACTTGCCTATTTTTGTCATTTCTGTGAAATTGGGGGTCTTCTTTGCACAACAAGCCGTGTTTCTCGCACCGCCTACAGCGGCCATCGCCTTTCTCGCAGCGAGACTAGGATCGTGTTACGACTGTCTATGCATGAAGCTTATAGGCTGAGAATTGTGTCCTACCTTGCTCTGCCTGCAGGAAGTGCAGGCCATTCGCCGACTGGCAATCATTAAGAAGACTGAATGTAGAGGCTGGCTAAGCTGAGGCCAATGGGGAGAAGTAGATGTAGTTGGGCGGATGAAGCCAATGAAGTCGTTCAGCTCCCTTAGTACACATCCCACGCACCTGAGAGTACCTAAAGGCCTTAGTCATCTTCGTGGGTAGTGGCGTACCCCGCAAACTAATATACCCTAGAATCTTCATGCAATTTGATTATTTATTTCTCCAGTAAAGGGAGTTGACTTCATATCACCAGTTTATATAAATCATTCACTATAGCAAGGTTAAAATGCTATGTCAATATTCATATATAGCTAATAGGTAATGCAACCAATGTATAACAAATGGTAATAGGGATTAGCACTCTTTCTGCAAAGCACAAGCCTTCCAAGTCAGTAATTTGAAGCATAAACTAATTGATCGCTAGTTATTCTCACTATACCCTTTTCTGCAAAACACAATTTCTCATAGCAATCCAACTCGCCGCTCCGGCCCGGGACTCAGCTACCTTCAAGCTAAATTGAACTGGGTGAAAAGAAATTCAGCCATTTGCCAATAGCGATAGAGAACAGATTGGAGAATGCATCTTTGAACTACCTAGATAAGCAGACAAACGCCAAACATGGCATAGGACAGCTGGTATATTACACTGCTACTGCTATAAGAACTGTGAACCAAGCTAGCCTGTTATATCTTAATCCCTAGCTACACCTCAATGTGGTTTGATTACAATTGCAATGTGATGTACAACGCTATTTTTTGGTATTCATAACCCACCGAGAGTAATACTCTTTATATTCGTGTATTCCTTCAGAGCATGGCTAGAACCTTCAATGCCTAGTCCGCTCTCCTTGACACCACTGAATGGCTGCTCACAAGCACTGACCAAACCAACGCGACATCCTACCATGCCAACTTGAAGTGCTTCTGCGACATCCCACAATGTGTTGATGTTTTCTGTGAACAAATATCCTGCCAGACCAACATCGGTATCATTTGCCATACGAATGACTTCCTCCTGGGTGGAGAAAGGTATCAGACATGCCACTGGGCCAAATGTCTCTTCCTGACAGAACAACATGTTCGACTTAGATCCAGTGATGATAGTTGGAGGATAGAAGTTGGGTCCGTAGTTGTGGTCGGCTTTACCTCCGAGGATTACTTTCGCTCCTCGACTCACCGCATCATCCACATGCCGTTGCACCTTCTCCACCCCTTTACCGGCATACAACGGCCCGAAATTCGACTTTGGATCCCAAACGGAGGCTGAAGGGCGAATTGTCTCAGCAACTCGAGTCTTGAGCCGGTTAGCGAACTCGTCATATATTTGCTCGTGGATAAATATGCGATTTGCACAAACGCATGTTTGTCCAGAGGACCGAAACTTGGACAGAATCATGCCATCCACTGCGCTGTCTATATTGGCATCTTCAAACACGATGAACGGTGCGTTGCCGCCCAATTCCAGGCTGGTCTTCTTGATATGCCGTGCGCACTGTGTGTTCAGAATTTTGCCCACTGCTGTTGAGCCGGTAAAACTGAGGTGCTTGACTAGCTTGTTGTTGCAGAGTTCCTCTCCGATGGTGGGCGTCGACTCTGGGCTACAAGTGATTACGCTCAGAACGCCGGCGGGAAACCCGGCGCGCTCAAATAACTTGGCCATGGCAATAGCACAGAGCGGTGTCTCTGGAGCAGGTTTCAGAACCACGGTGTTGCCAGCAGCAATTGCGGCTCCAGCTTTTCGAGTGATCATTGCCACCGGTGAGTTCCAGGGGGTAATAGCGGCAACAACACCTTGAGGTTCTCTAACCGTCATGATGCGCGTGCCCCTGCGGTAGGCTGGGATCGTCTCGCCGTAGATGCGTTCGCATTCGGACTCAAACCAGTCAAGGTAATCTATGCCATATGCCACGGTACCAAGAGATTCACTAAACGGCTTGCCAAGCTCAATAGTACATAGTGCTGCTAGATCATTCCGTGCCGCCTTGATGAGGTCTCCCCAACGACGCAGCATGAAGCGACGGTCACGGTGTGGAACCTTGCGAAAGATTTGGAAGGCATCTTCAGCGGCCTTAATGGCGTCGCGAACCTCTGCAACGGATAGATCAGGTACGAGGCATACCACTGCATCATCGACGGGATCTTGGCCAATGTTAGCATGAAGAAAGGCAATATCATTATACACGATCTCTGCTCACCATGTACAGGAAAGCTCTTTTTACTGGCGGCGGTAACCCATTGCCCGTTGACGAAACAGCGATTATCAACTAAAGACGGATCCTCAAACTGATGATCGTATTTTATACATCAGCCGAGTTTCTAAAACATCCAGAGTACCCTCTGCATCTACTTACAGTGTATTCAAAATGTTTTAGCAGAATAGACTCCATTGTGAACGGCTTGTTTCTGTAAAACAGGTGTATACTGTGCTCTACTATCGACGAGTGGTTGATGGCGATAGATGGATGGACTACTCATAGCTCTCTTACTCGAGAATTACACATTTCATGCAAATCACACCCAATGACTGCCTTATTAACGACGACAGCAATATTATGCCAACTCCGATTAATTTGATCAAATGATGTCGGCGATAGCTCTCGGTGGCACTTTGGTTGTCGAGCTAGTGGGCGCCACGAAACTCAAAATCACCGAGGGATCCCCCGCTCGGCGATTGCAGGGTTAGGCGATGCCTGTACGAGCAAGTCCAAATGGCGTTGATTTGTTCTGTACTAGGTAGACGAAATAAATGAGCCTAATTGTGTTTACTAAAGCTCGTTTATCGCATCAATGGATATCGATCTTGCGTAAAAGCCCCCCGATGTCAATCTTTTCCACAAGTGCAGAAAAAAATTTATACATCGTCAAAGCTGATACAACATGGCGACAATGCGTGCAGTTGTATTCAACGGGAAATACGACGTCAGTGTGGAGGATCGGCCCTTGCCTCAAATCGAGGACCCCAGAGACGTTATTGTCAAAGTGCAATATGCTGGGCTTTGTGGAACGTACGTGTTCTTTACGACCCATCAGGTAGCTCAAAAGCTACGAAGAAGTTTGCAAAGCTGATCGCGTCGAGCAGCGAACTACACATGTATCGCGGCCACCACGCGGTCCCTCGGGGATTCATTTTGGGACATGAGTTTAGCGGCACTGTGACACAAGTCGGGGATGATATCAAGTTGTTCAACGTTGGGGATAAGATTACATGCCCATTCTCGATACAGTGGTATGCCACATCCATTACGTTTAGCCATTTTGTACCAGCTACATGAGGGAAGTTCTAATATTGAGTGACCGTAGTGGGGAATGCTTCTACTGCACTCGTGGCCTAACCTCCCGTTGCGTCAAAGTTTCATTGATTGGCACCACAGCATTAGATGGAGCCCAGGCTGAATATGTAAGTCAATTCTCTTGCCGTTTTGCCCCGCCGTCTATATGTGATGATCTTTAACTATGCCTGACATATAATTTAGGTGCGGATCCCTTTGGCAGATAGTACTGCTGTCCTAGCTCCGCCAGAAATCGATGAGAAGCTTCTTGTTTTAATGGCTGATATTCTACCTACTGGGTACTTTGCCGCCAGTAACGGCTATGCTTTGCTGAAAGACACGGAGAGAAAAGATGCAGTCGTGGCTGTGGTCGGCTGTGGTCCGGTTGGTGAGACTCATCTCCCGCCTCGAGTCCCTCAAAATACTGTTCATTGACCAAGCAACTGCCATTCTGTAGGTCTGTGCGCCATAGTATCGGCCCTCCAGTTCAAGCCGAAACACCTATTCGCCATTGATTCCATCCCTGACCGCCTCGAGAGAGCAAAACAACTAGGCGCTGAGCCGCTGAACTTTGCCACTGATCTTGAAGGCCTAAAGAAGCGCGTGTTTGAAGTCACTGAAGGAAGGGGAATCGATGTTGCGCTTGAAATTGTGGGCCAGAGTCCGGCGTTGAGGCTGGCGTTTGATATACTGCGGCCCTGGGGTGTTATCAGTAGTATCGGTGTCCATTATGGAGAGGTATGTGAATCACCGTGGATTGAAGTTGACTACTGGGGCAGTTTCATTCTGATCATGAGGCACTAGGTTCCATGGACTGGAAATGAGGCGTATCACAAAAACTTGCGATTGCAAATGGGCCGCTGCCCGGTTCGCGCCGTCTTCCCTCCAGCGCTTGAGGTGTTAAAAAAGACGCAGCATCTATTGGGGTAAGTCGTATGGATTACCTCTTACGTTGAGTAGATTAAATACTTAAAGTAAAGCAGTTTCATGTGCGACAACATCATTTCCATAGAGGATGCCGAGGAGGCTTATAGGCAATTCGAGAAAGGCAAAATCCAAAAGGTCATCTTTGCTTTTGGGGATGATGTGCCAAAGAAAAGGCTGAATGTTCCTTAACTATGAGTGGTAAATATATGACCTGCCTCTATCTTTGGTTGTAGTATGTCATGAGAGGAATCTCCTGAGCTATGGTGGCGCCTGGGTAGATAGAGAGATTTAAGGTATTGAGATAACTAGAAAATTAAACGGAAAAGGGGGGCATATAGTATATCTACTACATATCTAGATCAATGGAATTCTGGAGTACCATATACTCCCATGACAGTTTTTCCCATTGGCTTAACGTAAATGCAAGGCACTGAAGTAAAACAAGTGGATATTATTGTAAGTGTTACAAAGGATTACAAGTGAGAAAATGCAATGGATGTATTAGAAGTATTATATATCTTGGTATTTATAGCCTTGTGGATTTTTCATTTCACCAAAATGCAGTTATTGTACAAATTAAACCCCCCCCCCCCCCCCGAAGTGCCACTGTTCTTGTGTATGTTTAGCTGTTGAAAGCGTTCAGCGAAGCCATATCTACCATCCCTCCAACCCATGTGCCTAGCATCCAATTTCCTAATGATGACATATTTCCAAATCCGTCCATTCCTTCCATAAAATACTCATTTGTGCCTAATACCTCTTGCTGGGGGTCTATTGCCAATGAAGGTGGCATATTATCTGTTTCAAGCACTGGGTTTGAATCAAATTCCGTCACCAGCCGTCCAACATCTTCTAACCCCTCATCAGGTATTCCTTTCCGAGCCCCTGTTACTGTGAGGCGTGGTCGTTTGATCACTGCTCTCTGCCTAGCAGTGGTTTCCCCTGCGTCCTTAGACATACGGTGAATCGCATCCCATTTGGGACACAACTCCGGCCCTAATTGCTCGAGGTATTGTCGCTGGTTGCCATCTATCGTAAATGTCAATAGCCCAATCTGTTTGTCTTGCTTAGTAGCAGCGCGAAAAACAGCGCGAATAACCCTTCGCGCGCCGGTGGCTGACGGGTATCTCTTCCCCATTTCTGCCAAGCATTGATCGATAATATCCAACTCATGACGCGTCTCAACCTCGAGGTTCGGGCATCTCAGACTGGTTGATTGGACTAGACCTGCAGTCATCATATAGAAAACGAATACAGGCGCTAGCATAGGCAACTCGCCACGGTTCAGAAACTCTTCGAAAATAGCCACAATGAAGGATGTGGCCAATAACGCCATAGCAGAAGGCGCATGAGCTGTTGTTGGGAACAAAAGCACCAAGGCAGTGAAGTACGCAACCCACAGCTGGCGAACCTTGAAATTGTATGAGGCCAATTTTCCAGCTTGATGGTATATCCGTAGATCCTCATGCAAATGACGACTCCAGTTCAACAACCTTGCTTCAATCGCCACTCGATTTGCTCGACCAAACATGTCTCTAACGATCGCGTCCGTCAAATCACCCAATATTCCACATATGTCAACATAAGACAGAAATAAGTGGGCATCGAGATTAAGCTCAGGAAAGTCGTTCAACGTTAGCGGCCTCACATCAAAACCCTCAGGATGTATAGCCCGTGGCCGTCCGTGGCACATGGAGATCAAACAGTCTCGAGACTTTTGAGTGGACAGAGTCAGTATATTCAGTTTATAATTTGCTCGCAATACTTGTAACGGAATACTTACGAATATGGTCCACCAAAGTCTCCTCCGTAAGCTAGCATGAGGTTGCTTGCGGTCTGGCTCCCGGTGGAGTCCAATCTGATGCGCCAGACCAACGGTCATGTGTAGCCAGAAGCTGCTGGAGTCGATCGATACGTGCTCTGGCCCTGAAGGATTCCACCATTGCAGCATACACATGGCGCGGACGATTACGAGTGGATTCTTCTCATGCCCAGAATAGTACAGCGCTTTGGCTCTGTGATAAAATGCCTGGCCCACCTCTTGCGCCGTCGGGGCCATTGAAACCCTGCACCCTGCAGTGCAGAGAGAGTGAAAGAGGAGTAATGAGGGTTCGAAGTCGTCTGTCTTTCGGAACTCTGATCGATTCACGATAGGCATCCACGGATAGCATCGCTCCATGAAATGCGAAATTAGACTGTCCCCAAGAACGCGGGTCGGCAACTCTAAGGCTCCCAGTTCTTGAAGATACCTATGATCTACTTCAGAGAAAGCGTTGTTTGGTTCATCAGCATAGTCCTTCGCGTCTTCCTCGTCTATCGGGGCTACGCCTTGGACGTATTCCGCGCGGCCGAGATAGCTTCCAGGACTCGCATTGCTTGGCCGTGGTGGATCTCCGGCCTCTGCTCCGTTTGGCTCTGCTGGGCTGAGTAGCGATGGCGCTGAAATGCTTCGTCGTTGTTGCTCTTGCGCTGGTATTGGGGTCGTGATACGGGTCTGGTTATTGGTGCTCCGCTTAGAAGGCGGTAAGTATGTGGTTTGTGGAAGCTCGCCTTTCCGCTTTCTCTGATGAGGCCTATTTAATGTCAATATGGACATTGTAAATTGCGCTTCATTGTAACTAAGCCGTACACGCAATCATCCCCAAATATTCGGCAATTGGTACATGGTGGCTCAGCTTGTACGTCGCACTTGACCTGCAACCAGTCTCAGCCTCCATCGTCGATTCTCGTCATATGGATGTATCGGATTGCCCACGTACCTTTCTCCAGTGACAGGCACTGCAAGCTTTGGCCCCTCGACCCATCTTTGCCTCCTGATGTGGGCTTATCATTTATTTCTGGCTACAGCTTTGGCGCTGGCAGGAGCACAAGGCAGAAAATAGAAGTAATAGATGGATGTTAATGTGTTGGGTGAGTTCCGGTTTATGCGGGGTGCGGGGGTGCCTATTAATTAATAGCCCCGATGCTCCCACGCTGAGATGCGGCATGCACCTTAACTGAGCACAAGGCAAACTAATAGTACGGGCTAGCTCACGCTATAAAACGCCCTTTCCATACATGTAGTCCGAGGTACATATTATACAATCTCGAAGGTATACAGTAACTTTCCCAGTTATATGCCTATACCACAGGTATAATAACATCGATCAGCCACTGTAGTCTGTTCTAATAATGCTTACATACAATAAACTATCTAAATTCGTAGACGATAAGTATTTGACAAGATCGATCTTCGAACTCTCAGATGCCTTACACATATACATATATATTAACTATGCTGGGTTCTAATCATAGCTCTTAAACAACAGTTTTCTGAAAAAGACAAAGGGCCACCTTCTGTTATTCCATTACAAACTTATACATATCGAGAAATCTTCCCAGAAATTATGTCGGGCCCGTTCTCTCCTCTGTCCCTTGAGTGCTGCCAACGAGCACATCAAGATTATCACTTCCTATATAGATAGATGGACTGCCAGCTGAAAGTGGAGATATGCCATCTTCGCCACTGTGAAGAAGTTGCGAAATAAATGAACTGTTGGACAAATCATTGCAATCTAATTCTTGTATCTCAACATTCTGAGAGTCGTCCAGGACGTCATTCCGTAAGCTGCTAATGGGAGGTATTGTTTCCTGCGAGTTCTTCGTAATTTGACCTGAAATAGCCATGACTTCGTACAATAAGTCGACGGCCTTCCGAATTCCATCCAAAACATCATTGAACTTTTGATAGCACTGTGTCGAACAATTGAAACAATGCATGTTATCAAAAGGTAACCCGAGCTTGGTGATATCACCAAAAGGTAACGAATTCAACTGTCTCTGCCAGTCTAGATCTTCAGGTCCATTGAAGTCATCAGATGTGGACGGGCTTGTTTCTATAAAGCCGTTGCTTTCGTGCTCGTTCGTTTGGCTCAAGCATGGCTGCTGTGCTGACGAATTCGACATCTCATCGCTCGAAGGAGTTGCTATGGATTGGAGCGGGGTAGATGGAATATGATTTGTATCTTTTGATGGTGAATCAATTTGACGATAGCAGGGTTTGAAACGCTTGCGTCTAGTTGTTTGAACGTTGCATTCGGTTTGATCCAGCTCACAATTGCAACAAGGAAGGCCATGTTCAGCCACATCGCATCTTACTTTCCTCCTTCGGCAGGCAACGCATGCTATTGCAGCCCTCTTTCTTCGAAATTCGCGCTCTTTTTGTTTCGCGGGATGCGGCACACACTCGAGGATTTGCGGAGTAAAAGATGACGCATCCATGACTTTAGTGATAAACCTGGAGGAACGGTTTCCAATAGATCAAGACAATAGAAAAAAACAGAAGAACAAAAGAGCACCTAATTGGAACGATATGTCTTTCCGAAGGAGGTGAATGCCGACTTGCGAGTAAAATTTTGTGTCCATCTAGCTGGGTACTCATAGAAACCTTGGGCGTAGACTGCTGCGAATACAGTAATTACTTGGGATAGACAGAAATCTGGAATTGGGTCTAGTCCGGAGCACTTGAGTAAAACACCGAAACGCCGAGCACACCGTAAAAATCGCCGGTTTGCTTCCTCGACCGCAAGCCAACTAAGAAAGCAGGTAGATGGATCATTGGGTCTTGATTACGCTCATTTTGAAATTTAATAGATATTGTGACAAGGTGTTAATAGCAAAGCAATTGTTACATCCGCCCCGTACACATCCCTCTTTATTGAGCTATGAATTCTTCTCCAAGTGCTGGCGGGCAGTCGTTGCCAAAGCACATTGGAGACAGTGTCCTTCCTAATTTCCCTATCTTTAATCGTCTCCTATTCTTCGCAACCAATAGAGATAAGCTTGTTATCAATGATACTACGAATGGTTTGCAGGCGACGCATCGGCAGCTCCTTTCCGACGTCTTGTACCTCCGCAATGCTCTCTGGACACGGCTGGACTCAAAGGTGCGAAACCGACTTTTGGCGGGCGAAGAAATTTGCGTCAATTTACTAGCAGCCGGAGGATATGAGTTCGCTACAGCCTTTTTAGCATTACTGGCTCTGGGGGCAGTAATTGTTCCGATCTGTAAGCAGTTTTAATTCTGATAGTCCTGATCGAGTGCTGATCCCCGTGCAGCGGCTTCAATTCCCGTACACGAGGCCATGTATTTTGCCAAAACCTCACGATCTATTGGCGTACTATATTCTTCCAAGTGCTCACTAATTGGAGAAGGATTGGCTGGTGCGATGCATGAATCCGGCGTGCCTGGTTTCGTCTCTATGGAGATCCTGCAACAGATCTGCAAGCCACCTTTGCCTGCTAGCAATATAATCATTTCGTCGGATCACCATCTCAACTATCATGGCGCAGGTCTGGTCATATTCACGTCTGGTACAAGCGGTCCTCCTAAGGGTGCAGTTAAGGAACGATCTTTTCTTGACACAAACGCGCAAGCTGTTGCGCAATGGTACAATCTACAAGAAAGCGATGTCGTCTTGCACACCCTCCCTGTGCACCATGCTACGGGGATCAGTATCAGCTTCCTCCCATATCTAATTGCAGGGTCTACTATAGAGTTTCAGTCATCTGGGTTTCACCCGGATCAAATATGGGAGCGTTGGCGACAAGGCGGTCTAACTGTCTTCTCCGGAGTGCCGACCATGTATATGAGGCTGATGAAGTATTTTGAGGAGAACATCTCCAAGAAGTCCTCGCCCGATATCCAGGGCTATGTGAGCGCTGCAAAATCGTTCCGTCTGATGATGTCAGGAAGTGCGGCGCTTCCATTCTCACTTCAAAGCAAGTGGATTAAGCTGTTAGACGGCAAGCGGATATTAGAGAGATATGGCGCAACAGAGTTTGGCAGTGTCTTCAGCGTAAAACCTGGCGACTCTAATAATCCAGACGTAAGATATCTCTTGCCGCACCCGTCACGCGGTATAATCTCAGCAAAGCTAATACTACTTGGCAGGGCTCTGTTGGGAAGCCGTTCTTTGGGCTTGAGGTTAAACTCTCGAACGGAACCGAGGGAGAGATCCTTGTGAAGAGCCCACATATGTTCCGAGAGTGCGTTTCCTCTTCATTGTCCTTTCCCTGATTATAAAAGCTGATGTGTTTAAGATATCTATACGATCCAGTAGCTACTGCTGCCGCCTTTACAACGGATGGCTATTATAAGACTGGAGATATTGCCAGAAGCGAAGGCGAATACTATTTCATTCTTGGGCGAGCTTCGATCGATAGTGAGTATAGACGATACCACAAACTGCTGATTCTACATACACCTGGCTAATTGACGACAGTCATCAAATCTGGAGGGTACAAGATATCAGCTCTTGATATTGAGCGTGAGCTCCTTAATTTGTCTTATATTGGCGAAGCCATGGTCGTCGGAGTTCCTGACGAAGAATATGGACAAAGAGTGGCAGCCGCAATTACACTGAGAGATGTAAGTTTTTTAAACATACGTACATGAATTACAGCCCTGATGTGAGTAATAGGATTACCAGGAGCCGTCCCTCCGATTAGAAAGGCTACGTGCTGATCTGCGATCACGACTGGCAGCATACAAGCTACCAACAATCCTGCGAGTCGTCAAAGAGTTTCCCAAAAGTGCATCCGGGAAGGTTGTGAAACGAGTCCTGGGCAAACAACTCTTCTCTGAGCTTAACGACCCGCATATTCAGGTCTGGCGATCTCGAAAAGGCGGCCAAGCTAAGCTTTAATATCTTCTCCAGTCGACTATTCGTCTGGATATTGAAAGTCATGAGATCGTGTTGAATGAGATAGTCTAGCGTAGTTCTAGGGTAGTAGACATGCTTGCTACATGGTTGCGAAATATAGACATGAAGAATAGAGTTGTTCATAAGCATGAAACCTCAAGCCGTTTGCTTTTGTAGATTAGTCATCGAAATGGCCTCGCAAAACAGCCTATCCTAGAGGCACCAGTAACGATTATATTACAACACATAGTCAATGTATTTTGAATGAAGATAACAGTGTCAAAATTATCTTCCCACGTGGAGACCTCATAAGACAGGTAATGAATAAGCCATTTTATACGTAGCGTTAAGTGCTGCAAGATGCCGGCTGGACCCTCAAATAAGTATAAGCAAGACACTATACCAAATCATGAAAGGAAACCAGGAAAAGAATGCGTGAAAAGTGTTGGAACGATTTTTGCGCTAGTAACTATCTACTATCTGTTAGTATTTATAGTGGCTTTCTCAACTTGGTAGCTGTGATGTTTCCATTTCCTCTCAGTTATAATGGCAGCACGAGAAATAAATCTACAATTTAGCTAGAATAGCATTGCCATCCCCGGAGCCTAGCACAAGCTCTGGGTTTTTGTAATCGGGGTTGACGGTAATGCGGTTTAAGGGGTTGAGATCATGAGCGCGATGAAACATGTCCTCATATACACGACCATCATAACGACCCAGTGAGCTAATCGAACACATTAGATGAGTCCTTCAACGTAACAAATGGCACTAAAGAAGAACCTACCTGTCAAGAAGATAATCTGGTAGAGCCCACACGTCAACCAACCGAACGGCATGCGGCCGTATACGCCTCATCAGTTCAAAAATTCGATCCCGCACCGCGCTGAGTTGATCGAGTGATACCGTCTCAGTTTGTATAAACTCAAGAGCATTGTTCTGCATCGTAAATAGCGCAAATAGCGTGTACAGGTCCCACAGCACATTGATCGTTTCCTGTCCAAAATCCTGCAGGTTGGTTATCTGGTTATGAAAGTTTCGCACTAAAATGGAATACGAATAAGCTACTGAAGGGTTAACATAGCCGAATTATTTAATCGAAGCCAGCACTAACCATGTGACAACTGATGCATCTTTATAAGCATCTCGTTCTCCGACCGGCCTTGTTTGACTCTCTCTGCATAGACCTGGAACGCCTGTAGAAGATGGTAAGCTCATTGGCGCCGCCTAATGCTGGATGGACTTACCATCCGAGCTGCTCGATGTTCGAAAGCGTCCGCCAGCGCAGAATGGTCCTCCAGGATGTTGAAGCCAGTTCCATTATGGGGCAACTGATACTTTTCGAGTAATTTCTCGGCTCTTGTCTCTTGTTTAGTTCCTCGCTTCTCTGTGATTCTCTTAGCGACTTTCATAAGGTATCGGGCTACCTGCTGGGTGATCATCCAATTATCTCCCTCAACAGTAGGTTTCGACAGATAATCAGCATTTAGTTGCACTAGCCCACTGTAGCCTCCGTATCCATGCCCTCCCATTGCTCGCCTGCAAGTCTCAATACCGTTGGCTGCCAGGTCAGTGCAGAGGCTCTTGAGGCCAGATGACAGGCTGTGCAGCTCTGCCATTCCACTAAAGTCATTCTGTGCAATTCTCTCCCGATTGGACAAGAAGGTTTCCTTCATGACCTGGCCTGTGAAATGCAAAGCGAATACGGTGGCAAGCAGCGGCAGGATACGGATCTGCACCGTTGAATAGTCGATAACAGAAGTTTCAGGCGCTTCCGAATGGTCGTCTTTATCTTTGAACTGTCGTCTGATCGTAGTGTAGCGGACTGCAACAGTAACAGCGCGTGCCAGAACCAGCCTGGCGTGATTCACGATTCGCGATCGAGCCTTAAACAACACTACATTAGCTACATCAAGTACGTCACTCCAACTTCATGCGAGTAGCCTCAAACCGACCTCAGTGAGTGATCCGTACACGATATTAGGAGCTTCTGGTTTCGTGTAAACACTAGTTTCGGGATCTAATTTGGCATATCGACTTAACATGGCATCATGTGGGATTCTGGTGATTATTGAGTATTAGCTTATAAGTTTCAAGGGTTTTCTGCTGAGGTATATGGTGCTTGCCTGTGATGCTTGAAGAGCATAAACGCATTGTCCATGGGTGCGTAGCCATATTTTGGCCCTATATCTCCGACCACAATTCCATCCAAAGGCTGATGTGTCACCTTGTCTCGAACTTGTACAACAAAATGATGAGGGCCCAATCTGTCGTATTCCACTGGATCCTTGGCAGCAGTTTTCTTGGGAATGAGCAGCTGGGCTACTACAATTGCATGAGTAGCCGTGCGGCCTAATGACCCATTCCACCATTTACTCGCTGTCAATGTCGGGCTATGAAGGTTGAATGATTTAGTCGCCGGGTCCCATCGAGCTTCAGTTTCGATACCTCGGACATTGCTCCCGTGACCCATTTCTGTCTGTGCATAAGCCCCAATCACCTCCCATCGGCCGTGCTTAGGAAGCCAGTACTGCTGCTGCTCATCACTAGCTTGTTCTCGGAGAGTTTGCCGGAACATCGTGGTATGGAGAGTATAAGGCGACACGTCGTCAACAAGATATTTGGCCATTTCGTATTCCTCGTCAGACCAGTGATACTGATCAGCCATTCGTCGGAGAAGCTTTGCCCGAGCAAGACCAAGTAGATATCGGTCAGGCCGAGACAGATTCATCTGAGTTCGCTTAGAGAGAAGCTTTTGGTCCATTAACAAGGGCAACAGACTCCGTTGCATCTGAAGCCATTGCTTGCCCAAGATGAACTCAGAGAGAGCATCTACAGGAATTGATGAACGAGCTCTTTCTTGTTCTATCAGGACACTACCGCCTGGGCTGGCAGGCTTGAGTTCACTGGTAAAGTCTGTCTGCATCGTGTACGAGGTGTTGCTTTCTGCTTGGCTGCGGAATTAGGCGATGATCGAAAAAGCTATCCCAAAGCTATCTAAGTAGTCCAGAATATGTATTATAAACGGCATTGTGTAAATCTATCGTATGACAATGCTTCTCGAAGAATCAGTTGATTGGGTCAAACGATCACAAGTTTCTCTCTGTGAGGAATCGCCGACGATGCGAATTGCCGGCGAATCAGCTGGGATGGGGCGCCGAAGGGCTACTAATGCGCATCATAGCGCCGGTAATATCGGCGGTGATTTTTCGACAGGAAGCCCCCAAGTGGCGGTGGACATGGCGTTTCTAGGAGCACGTCAACTGACCAGTGGAATTACCCTTGGCAACGCTCAGGTGTCCCTTATTACGGATCTGGTACTAAGAATATAGTAGATCCGTACTTAATGGAAAAAAAAAAAACAAGCAAGACGTTCGCGGACTTTGTTGTCAAACTAATAAGTGATGTATCACGAAGCATGAGGTACTCAGACAATTGACTTCGATATGCAAGAGCCTAGAACAAATCATTTCTACTAGAGTACTAGGCCTAAGGAATTGTGACTGCAGATACGTGTAAACAGGATATGACGGATACCCTAGAAAGAGGGGCATCCAAAGCCTTCAAGGCCTAATGAGCTTGACAGCATAGACCCATAAGTTCAAAGCGTATAGATGAAGAGGGGACTTTTGTCGCCCATCCGGTCCAACTCTTCCGGCGTATATTTTTCAAGAATCTCCTCGCGACTCATACTCTCACGCTTCTTGTTGATACGTTGCAAAGCAATGCGCATGATCATACCAGCCGAACTGGCAACCAAGAGAATACCGAGGGAAAAGCCAAATCCCAGCCAATAGTTGGGTGCTTGCTGCCTGAGGTAAATGTTAGTTCCCACTGCGCCGCCCAAGTTACCGATGCTGATCTGTAAGCCTAGTCCAATATTGCGCTTCCACGTTCCCGCCAAGTTATTTGCTGTGCTCGGTCAATAAGTTGGAATATCAAAATGATTCTAGGAAAGAAACATACCGTTCCACGACACAACACCCGTAATCGTTGTATATAAACCAATAGCCACAATAAACAATGCTCCATAGACGGCTCCCGGATACTTTTCCTTTGGAATAGCCATGACAATGACCAAGCCGAGCGCGCCGAACAGCTGTGGAATGATGATAAAGGGAGATCGAGTCTTGAGGCGATCAGAAAAATATGCCGAGGTGACCGTAGCTATTACCGCTGCAATATACACCGGGATGGTGAGAAGTTGCTGAATTACCTGTTAGCAAAGGGTTACCAGCTGCGTCAACATGTTGACTCACTGCATTGGTGGCCGAGTAACCTAGTTCGTCAATGACCACTGGTAGAGTGTAAATAAACCTATGTGAAGAAAAGTCATACATTGTAAGCCATCTGAAAAAGGGAGAACATTAAATTAAATTCTTGGCAGATGGGCAAAGCTTACCCATAGATTGGCATTGCATTTCCCCAATACACCAGTATTGACATCCAGACTTTCCAATCCGTAAAGGCTTGCCAAAAGTATTCCCATTTAAAAGGGTCACTTTCATCAGCTCGTTGCGTCTGCTGGAACTCCCGAAGGCGATTCACGACATGCTTTTTTTCTGTATCGTTGAGAAACTTGCAACTCATGGGATCGTTGGGTAGAAGAAAAGGGGTGGCTACAGCAGCGACTACCGTAATCAGTCCTTCGATAATGAAGATCCTAGGATGAACTTGGTAAGCGTAGATCCAGCAGAATAGACCAATACCTTTTTTTTTTTTTTTTGAGAGAGAAGGACCAGTCCTTACCACCGCCATCCTGCAAGCCCACCAACCCCATCCATTTTCTCAATGGCAAAGGCAAGGAGACCAGAGAAGGCACCAGACAGAGCACCAGCCCCATAAAAGTAGCCCATTCGTAACTGGACCTCATGACGTGGATACCAACATGTCAGAAGATACGAAGCTGCGGGAAAAAACCCAGCCTTTCTCCTTGGTCAATAAGTTCGTTCTTTGTAGAGAGCGGGTTCAATAGTGATGTAAGTACCTCTGCAATACCAAGAAAGACTCTGGCTACCACAAGGCCAGAGTAGCTCTGAACGATTCCCATCAATCTGCATTGGCGCTAAGTAAGTTACATTACTCTTATATCTTGACTGACAGGATATGTTACTCACGTCATAATCGTCCCCCAAGACAGCATTATAATGGGGATCCACACGCGTGGCTTCAAAATCTTGAGGAGTATATTGCTAGGAACTTCGAAGAGGCCATACGGAATAAAAAACATTGTCAAAGCGATGTTGTATTGCGTTCCGGTGAGATGCAAATCTTTGCTCAAGCCAGCAACATTGGCATTTCCCACTGCAGACGAGGATCAGCATATTTCCCGGATAAGAATAACAGAGGTACGACTAGAGGAAGGGAAATCACCATTGCCTCGGTCGAGAAAGGAAAGGAGATAGAGGACTGAGAGAAGTGGAATCAACCGCAGATCGATACGACGCAGTATTTTCTTGAACTCGGCCTCGTCCAGTTGTGGTATGGACTCGCCGTTTGGATCGGCGTCCTCAACCATGCTGATTTCCTTTTTGCTATCCATAGTGCCGTCTAAAGTCATGACGAGTCTACTGGTGAATTTTTGCGACATTCATGTCCGGGTCATGTCATATGAGTAGTTTATATAGAAGTCACGTATTCAAATAACAGTCTCTCCACTTCAGTAAGAGCCAAGCGTAATACTTTTCCATTCTTTGTTAGACTATACGAATCGCCGTTAGCTAAATGTTGCCCATACCATGTGCACTGAAAGTTGTATAACGCCAATTGGCGCTAGCGTTCGTCTCCTCCTTGAAGATATATTGGCTGGCAAAGCCAGAAGCACATGGTAATCTCCTTGTGGATGGTCTCGGTGTATTCTTTGTGGGTCGTGGCACAGGATTTGGCGCGGGGAAAGTCTGGGGTAGATATGGGGTACGTTATACTAGCCTGTGGGGGATATAACGCCGAGCACCTATCCCACGCATCTGCCTTGATGGTAATACGATCTGAAGAAATGCCTACCGATTATATGTGCACCTTACGACAGTTTTACATAATCCACGTAGCTTCAGTACGAGATTGGGACTGGCACAGGTGCTTAAACAGCAGCTTCAAGATTGAGTATCTACACTTGCGTGCTATCGATCACAACCACACTCTTCCCCTTCATTAACCCTGAATGCGCATCTTTGACCATTTTTGGTATCTCCTTCAAGCCGTGATAGATATTAGTTTTTACCTTGATTCCATGCTGTACTGCGAATTCCAACATCTCTTGTGTCTGCTTGGGAGACGCCGTCAACGAGCCAACCACACAGATATCTCTGAAGATCAGTTCGCGATATGGGATCTTTACCTCAACAGGCTGTAAAAAGGTTGAATTGGTAAGCGACAAGTAAATTGGACGTTTCGGGATGTAAACGCATACCTGAGCAACCTGAACCATACGACCGTGCTTCCTGGTTACAGAACATGCAAGGGCGGCTGCCGACGTGGCATCGCTCAGATTAATGGTGGCAGATACGCCTTTGTTTTGGGTAGCTTTCCAAACGTGCTTTACAACAGAGTCGGGCCCAATTCGTACATCAACAACAACTTCCGCTCCAGATTCTCTCGACAGACTGATCCCTTCATCACGAGCATCTAACCCGACTACCCGTAGCCCCTTGGCCTTTGCAAACTGAACGGCTAAATGGCCCAGACCGCCTCCAGATCCCACGATGCCTAACCAATCTCCTGCTTTCAGTTGAGTTTGTAGAAGTGCGCGCCACACGGTGATACCAGCACAAGCCAGGGGTGCTGCGTCTGTAAAGTGCAAGGCAGCTGGGACAAGCGATGCGCTTCGGGAGTCAATCAGGATGTACTCAGCAAAAGCACCATCGACCTGAAGCCCAATACCACCAGCGCGATCAGAGCAGTATTGGGGGTGTTCACTGTTGCAATCTTCACACTGCCAACACTGATGGAAAGGGATTCCAGCAAGAACGCGATCATGTAATGCAAAGTTGGTCACAGCCTCACCCTTTGCAACAACTGTGCCAACACCTTCGTGAGAGCCTGTGATGGGCAGAGTTGTTCCAGCCATCTTGCCCTCTTGGACCATGGAATCAGTGTGACATAATGAGGCGACTGCAGTCTTCAGCAGAAGATCGTGTGGGCCGATGCTCTGAGGGACAGGCACCTCGCGAATAACATACGGTTCATCAAACTGAAAATGAAATGCTTTTCAGTTGTCTTTTTCTCTCTCATGAAAACGCTACATGTGCCATACCTGTAGAACCTGGCAGGCGAGCATATGCTTCGGTATCGCCTGATCTGCCATGATGTGAATGAGGTATAATAGGACAGTAGATTTTCGCGGCGCTAAATAGCTCGAGTTGGTAATGAATGAGAATCATAGTAATTAGATGAACCCGAAATTTAAAGACGGACCGTTCACAATATTGGACTAAAAGTGACTAGGAAAAACGCCGAGGGCATTAAGGCCTCGCCGTCGGATTTTTCGAAACATCCGGAGAAAGTGGGATGCGCGTGTTTCCCCCGCATCTTGGTGTGTACTGAATGGCCTTAATCCCACAATACCGTGGGGAAAGTTGAATCCTCTTGAGCCACTCTTATATAAATGAATATGGCTAAGAGTCATTCTCACTCGAGCTTTCATTAACAAAGTACAGACGCACTGGATATTGCTGCAGTCGTTACGACAATGGCATTTTGGAACTTTGAGGCGGAATTACGACCAACTCTGCCCAGACTGGAATCCTACTTCAATTCCAATGAAGAGTTCCGAGTTTCTTCCATTGGACATGACGTGTCTTTTGGCATTACATGTAGCGACACGCAGGCTACCCTACTTGTCACTATCAGGGCTAGCCAAGCACTTTTAGAATGGAACAATCAACGACAGACTGAATTCACCCTGACCGCTCGGTCTGAAGACTGGAAGGAGTTCTTTTCTCCTACTCCCAAGCCTCCATATCAATCATACTGGGGTATCTTGCGCATACTGGGTTCTGAACCTGGAGTGGGTATCTTGGGAGACGCTCAAGCCTTTGGAAGAAGTGCAAGGCTCTGGCGGCTCTTCCTTGATACAGCACGTCGGCATATAACGAACTCTAAGGCGCCAGTCACAAATGGCATCGGATACCATGAGGATCAGGAAGACGATTCTATTGTGGGACGTTATGCATGGCTCGATTTGCCTGTATTTGGTCGCACGAAGATCTTCTATGAGACTGCAGGGGAGGGACCAAGGCAGATCCTGTGGCTTCATACCGCCGGTGCCGACTCCCGGGAGTATCATGATCTCATGAACAACAAGAGTCTCCAAGAGCGATATACTATGTACTCATTCGACTTACCTGGTCATGGGAGGTCATATCCAGGGCAACAGCAACTACCTCAAGGATATGCTAATGACGAAGACACCTATGTTGAGATCATACACCAAGTCATCAAGAAGTTGAACCTCCACCAGCCCATTGTGTCCGGTGCCAGTATGGCAGGTCATGTTTGTCTTGCGGTCGCCATTCGAGCAAAAGAACTCGGAATTGGAGGAGTCATTCCGGTGGAAGCAGCCGCTCATCTGCCTTTAGTACAACCCCCCTATGAACTTGGTGGTCATCTCAATGAATCGGTCATAAACCCAGAGCGAGTATGTGGGATGATTGCCCCTACGACACCCGAATTCCAGAAACGATTAATCTGGTGGATCTATTCGTCTCAATCTGCTGGAATATTTCAAGGTGACCTGAAGTTCTACTTCCGTGGTTGGGATGGAAGAGGGCGTATTAAGAAGATTGATACAAGATTGTGTCCGGTTTACATGTTGACTGGTGAGTATGACTATAGCTGCAGCCCTGAGGTGAGTGGCGAAGCCGCAGCCCAAATTCCTGGCGCTCGGTTCGAGAAGATGGAACGGATGGGCCATTTTCCGATGACGGAAAACCCTCAGGAGTTTATGGTCTATTTAAACAGAGCACTTGAATTCATAGAAGAGTCTCGTAGCCAATAGAATGACTGAAGATATTCTCACGCTAGCAAATGTTTAGCTTATGCTGAAATTAAAGTCAAGGTGCTGAGTTCCTTAGCTTCAAAGGTTAGCGTAAGAGTACGCTGTACAATGCCAACAGGAGCTGCAAGTTTCTTTTGCAACAATGGACGTGAAATTAAATTTTAGCCTTTGGCTGTCTTGATACTTCACGGCTGTGGATATGGCTAATCTTTTGAAACTCTCGCAGAGCCTCCCCGTACAACTCTAGCCTCAACAACGCAAAGACGCCCATCTTCGCTTTCACTTTCACTTTTTCCGCCAAAGCAATTGCCCTGTCTAACATCTCTTCAGGCGGGGCAATTTCATCCACAATGCCCGCTTCGAAAGCTTCCTTGCCAGTGAACTTGTGCGCCTCTAACAACACTGTCCTTGACACCTGTGGACGTAGCTTAGCACGAAGTAAAGACCCCATGCCGTCAAAATGGAGACCTAGGTTCACGGGTGGCATTGACCAAAACCCGCGTTGGGAGTTCATGATGCGATAATCATGGGCAAGAGTGAGGAGACATGCGCCGCCAAAGGTATGACCGGTAATGAGACATATGGTAGGGAACGGGAAATCGAGAAGGGTGCGAAGTAACTGGTTTCCCGCTGTAAGAAAGAAAGTTCAAGATTGGGGTCAGATAGACGTACTGGATAAAAGCCATCGGTACTGGAGAAAGGGTTAACACCTCTTTCATCCAGGTCTAAGCCCTATTGCTCTTCGTTAGACAGGTAATTGATTCAATGTAAGAATTGTAAGCGGCCTACAGTTGTAAAGAATTTCGCATTGCTTCCTCTTAAGATTACAGCACCCTCTGGCTCAAGTGTCTCAGCTGATAGCTCTTGCTCAATGCGTCGATATGTGGAGATGAGGTCTTGGCACAGCTTCATAGTAAGCCGATTCTCTGGCGGCCTTTGTAGCGTGATAATAAAAATTACTCCGCGACGCTCGACATCTAGGTGATTCAAAGTGTCCATCGTGTCACGAAATAAGACGCGCTGAAATACTTGCTTCTTTGACCGCATGCATACACTGGGCTATTGAAATTGATAATGCCTTAGATACAAGATGGGGCTAGAACATTTATACTACATGGGTAGGCCATACAAGGAAAATCGCCGACAGAATCGCCGAAGTCAAGTTTTGCGTCACTTAGTAGTATAGAGCTACTAAATAACAAGTATTCCGCAGAGTAGGTAAAATAGATAAGGTAGACTTGGTTTATTACTTACCTTTTACCCGAACTTCTAGGCCTACGTCTCTCATAGTTAATGCTCATATTTTCTCTAGTAGAGTTGGTATTAGCCCTGCCTATAGGTGAAACGTGCCAAACTTCCCGATGGACGCTTTGAGATGAGATTTAGCACTCATGCAGACATCCCGCTATCTCTCTCCATAATTTCCATTTGCACCATATATATATCACGCCCAATCACACTGACAAGACCAACTTGGTACAGATCTTTCCAGCCCAGCCGTAAGCCGGGGGCGGCTGGGCAGCTGGGATAGCGCGGGTAAGAAGGCGCAGCCGCAAATGGAGCGAGAACGAGTGAGAGAGAACGAACGAGAATGAGATGCGATGCGTACATCCTGTGAGTTGAAGTTGGCCCTGCACTTGAACTACGCGGTACGTTTTCCTCGCCGTTGATAGGATGAGTCGTCAAAGCTAACTGCATTTAGGGTGACAGAGGTGGTTCATGGTAGAAGTGATCATGGCTGGTTTCATGCACTACCTATGAACCCAACAATTGTTACCCTACGTTATATTTTGAATTGGAAACAACTCCTGGAACTTGAGTATAAGAAGACAGAACCCGCCATATTCAATCTCTTGTTACAGGCCACCTCTCGTTTACCGACCATTGTTTAAGCTATTACAAACACAAATTCTACTTCATTGATCCGCGTTGCAATTATTCCAGGGAAATCCTGGTGCTGTCTTTCTTTACTTATCATCTGTTTCCATAGACAGTGACATTTGTTCATCATGCTGACCTCCGCGCTGAAAACACTACCCTTTATGCTCGCAGCATCCGTTGCTGCTGGACCGCCAACAAACAATCGTATGGTCCAGCATCCTGGCATACTGAAATACCCTATCACTGCATCCCCTAGTGCGCCTGTACGGGCCATCAATCGTTGACAAATGGGCAACAGCTTGACGAACCAATTGAAGGGCACCTTTTACTCCATAGACATTGAAGTAGGCACCCCAGGCCAGCTGGTTAGCGTTTTGTTTGACACCGATTCTTCTGAGCTGTGGGTTAACCCTGATTGCAACAAGGCCAGCAATCCGAGTCTGTGTCAGCAGCTGGGTTACTTCGACAGCGCCAAAAGTAGTACGTTTAACGATACTGGTATTAAGCATGTTATCAGCTACGGAAGTGGATATGTGAACATGACTTATGCTTATGAAGCCGTGAAAATTGGCTCTGCTAAGCTCAGAAATCAGCTCTTCGGGGTTGCCTTCGACAGTGAACCCGAAAACTATGGTATCTTTGGCGCTGGGACGGACCTTAGGGGCTGGGATGACCCGTATCCCACTGTCATTAATACACTTGCTCAGCAGGGCTTCACAAACAGTCGAGTGTATAGTCTTGACTTGCGATCTATCGAAAGCCAGCGCGGTTCAGTTATCTTCGAGGGTATTGATACTGGCAAATTCTCTGGGCGCCTCGAGAAACGGCCCATCATTCCCGCTGAACAGTCCCCAGACAGTGCAACCCGCTTTTGGATCTACCTCGACGGCATTACTGTCAGTACTGAGAACGGGACTGAAGTGAGAGCTTTTGACAAAGTTGATGGCCAGGCAGTTCTTCTCGATAGCGGAGCCACTCTCAGTTCCCTCCCTGGTCCCATAGTCAATGAGCTGCTCAAGGGGTTTCCGTCTGCCCAAGCGAGAGGTCCACTTTACCAGGTTGGTTGCCCTGTCCCTGGCTCTAATGGTACTGTCAACTTCAAATTCGGAAATGCCGTCATTAAAGTGTCATTGGAAGATTTCACATTGCAAGTGGATGAGAGTTCCTGTGCTTTGGGCGTTCAACAGAATGACGAAATGCCTGTTTTAGGAGATACCTTTCTCCGAGCTGCCTACGTTGTCTATGACTGGGACAACAGGAATATTCACCTTGCCAATAGTGCAGATTGTGGCTCTCACCTGGTGGCAATTGGCAAGGGACCTGATGCTGTCCCGCTTCTCACTGGTGACTGTCGAGAGACTGCAACCACTTCTACTTTTATCGCTACGTCAACATCCAGCGTCGGTTACATAAACAGCACTAGACTATCCAGCAGCTCTAATACTGCTACTCCTGTACTGTCAAATTTTACGTCGGCTGTACTTCAACTACTTTATACACTATTACTAGCTGCTTCTCAAATGTAGCCGGCTGTGTCGTCGGTTCCATCCGTACCGAAACGGTCACATCGTTGACAACTTACTGTCCAGCTACAGTAGCATCCAACGTACCTCTTACCACACCAAACTTTAACTCGGATAGCATATCAGTTACAATTAACAACTATCCCGAGACTCGTCCGTCCGAGACACAAATTTCCCCCACAATCGCCGCTAATAGTGGTTAAAGTATGAAGACGTGGCCGACAGAGTCTTCTTTAGGAAGTCCAAGTGCTACAGCTAGCTCTTACGAAGCATCTGGGTCCAGAAAAGACACCAACTCACTACGACCCACTAAGACCAGTATTCCTGTCTCTCAAACCCTCCCTCCGTTCACATCAGGGGCCGTCAATCAGCGTATCATATCTTCCATGCAAATCATTGTTTGTATACTCGCAGCTGCTGTAGTTGCATGTTAAATATTCGGTAGATTCCTTCGATAACGAAATCCGGTAGCTTGTCAATAGATAATCTCCTACAATTGATCCAAATCATATAATGCTAATTGACATGATGCGATATGGAGCTCGATGGTGGGTGGCGCAGGATAAGAGGTTAGGGATATTAATATAAACTGATGTATAGAAAACTACATGAATACAATACCCGTATTTAGGAACCGGCACTATCATAACATCCTAGTATGGTCTCTCTATTTGGTATATACTTTATAATAAATTATTTAGTTGGGAATCGCGCCATTGCTACGGATAAGGGCTGTCGCTGCTGTCATCATCTCAGGATCAGTAAGCAACAATACAGCGGTATGCGCTTGGGCTCTTCCCATGATCTCTGTCTTGTTAAAGGCAAAGTCTGTTCCAGTAAACTGCGCAAAAAGCGGTTCATGATTTGTCCCACAGGCTGCGGGATTCTCGCAAATGTTGAACAATGGCTGCAGCACCACTTTAGCTACGCTCAGAAGCTTTTTTGTATTTGGGTCAATTTCTGGCTGCTGAACTAGCGATGCATCGGTAGCTGCCAGTGCACTGTCCGTTGTAACAAAATTAGACGAGCCATATGCGTCCGTAGCAAGGAGTTCGGTCATGAAACTTGCTAGATATGGATCTACCTCAAACTCTGGGTAGATAATATCGCTTGTGATGGAGTCTGCACCGTCAATGGCATCACTGACCACTTTAGCGATCGCATTGATGTCCGTATCGTAGCGTGTCCGAATGTCGCTTACAAAGCCTAGCTCTTTCTGTGTCGTGTTCTGAGGAAGATAGAACGACAAAGACGAGTCACCAGACAACCTTCGAAACACCTCAATGGAGAGTACAAGAGGTCCATTGGAGTTGGCCGAGGCATGCCCCCCAGGCCCATGCATTATGAGGTCAACTCCGTCCACGCCATTCTCCACCGTATAGGTCACGTTGGGATATGTTGCGTCCAGAATTGATGAAACGGTCTTGTGAACAATATCGACTGTTGTTCCTGAAATCCCAAGACCAATCTGCTGCTGGATAACATTAACAGCCCAATCGCTGACTTCCTCTATCAGAGCTACGGATGAAGCTGTGCCAGGTAAATCGGCCAAGTCGTGAACCGATAACATACCCTGGTACGTTGCTTTGACAGCGTCGTAATGTGTGTCCCTCTTGAAGTTTGAGAATAGGTTGAGGCGCACGTTCCCAGGCGCAAAGGCGTTGGCCGGGGCGGGATGTGCCATTAGCCAGATATTGGCGTCATCGAATCCCGCATGCTGTTCCACAGTATTTTTGCCAGCACCATTCTCTTCGTCTAGTGTTATCCGTAGTAGAATCTTGCCTGGGATATTTAACTCCACGAGGGCCTCAGCAGCTAGACGAGAAGCTAGGACAGCATTCAACCATAATAGGTTGTGCCCGCAGGCGTGACCAACTCCTGGAAGCGCGTCGAATTCGCCAATAAAGCCGACGGTAGGAATATCACCATTGAAACCATCTGGTGGATTTTCAAACTCTGCAGCAACCGCGGTGGCCATACCGAAAGCGTGAGGTGTCACCTCCCAGACATCGAGCGCTTGAAAATATTCAACTGTGACATCGTGGGCGTGAAACTCAAGGAGGCCAAGCTCTGGATTTTCCCATATATCACGGGATATATCTCTCAGCTAAGAGAACACCGTGCTGGATATGTTTTGGAGTAGTCCTGGGAGGTTGGATGTACTATCAGCGAGGGACAAAGCCAAGCTTGAGAGCAAGACGGGGGTAATTTTCATAGTGCCGATCAATGGAAAACGTGAAAGTGAATGTGTGGTGAAAATTCACAATACTGTTAATTGTCTTGACTATTTGTTTTTATATTGCTTCAATCTTCCACATACTGCTCCGTTCAGTTAATTGTTCAGGTGCTAGTGCTTACCATCGGAAATATATACTGTGAGCTTGTAAATCCGATTTTCGTGGAGGTAAACCATGCTCTGCAAGTAAGGCCCGAATGCTTGAAGAATAGGGGCAGGGGCATGTTGAGCTTGGAGGCTGTTTACGTGGCCGCCGGGGACTTTTTGCTCGTATTACTTGTGGGTGGATCAAAATTGAACCCGGACTTGCGAGTTCCTAGTTATAACGCCATGTCCGTTGTGGCCAATGTCCTTATCTTCCAGGTCAGTCGGGCTCATAATTTGTTGAAAACAAACGTTAAAGCAAGGAACATTATGGTGGCTTATATTTCAGCACTCAAGGAGCTACAGTTTTGCAGTGCTTATTGCTAGGTTATACCCTATATTGTTCAAACTATCATTGATAATAAGTGACAAGGAATGCTATAATGCCGTCGGAGAATAGAACGGATATTCGATGTTACTAAAGCTATGTAGAACTAGAATTTACCCATAAAGCTTCCAGTTTCAATTTTGGCATATTTTGTGGGCCTTAGACCTAATCCTGAGTCTATGGCAAAAGCTTATTACGAAGGATAGAACAATCGGGTACCAAGACCCAGCTTTGCCAGAGTCTCGTACTTGAAGTATGTCTTATATCAACTGAAACAAACCCATTGAAATGCAACATATTATGACACCTGGTGAGACATAGTAACACTGAGCCACTTCCCACTCTTCACCCTGAGTAGTCAAAGCAGTCGCTGTACTCGCAATAAGTACCGGATGGTTCGCCATCTGCGTGAGCAGATTCTGCAAAGAATGAGCACTTCAGTCGTCACATTATCTCACATACTAAGGAGGAGCCATGTAGTCGCAATATTGCAAAAGGTAGTATAATCTCTAGTATGTTCTTAGACCTTTGACCAGGTGTTCAAATGACAATACACCTCCCCCATGGACCACTCAGCAGGAGAATTGAAACCGTTTCAAGACTCCTCAACTAGCCCTCCTCGTGTTTATCCGCTGCAACGTTGGATTCCTGGGATAGATAAACGCCAGTCATACTTATCTCGGGCTAAGGCTACTTTGTACTCAGACGTCGTCTCAGTAGTCTGTTGCTCATGAATGAAGTTGATGAGTATCCCCTTTGGATGATTGACAGTCACGATAAATCCGCCTCCGGGTGCATTCTTCCTCTCAGCAACATAACTGGCGTACTTCATATGGGTTGTCTCTGTTCAATGTTCAAGAGTGTTAAAACTTCAAAAACGCCTCTGGGAAAGCTTTTCTGTCCCTTTTTGGCAAATATAACAGATTGACTCCTGCTAGTGCCGTGGAACCACGCTTGCATGAATAGCTTTTAGCGGCTTGCGTCCCAAAATACAGTAATCTCATTCAGATGGACTTGCTAGCATTGAGCAGGTGCTATGTTTACTCGACCGATCCGTTGGCCAACCCACGTCCACTATTTGTGAGGAGTCCCTGATTTGAACCAAGCGCCCGCGTATCTGGTACTGGCGTGCGCTAGAGTTGGACTGCCCCCTGAGTTCTTCTGCGGTAAGAATTTGGCGGGGAAGATTTGGCGGGGCTTCGAATCGTAGGTGGTGGCAAACTCTCCATTCTGCGGGACTTTCAAGGGACGCTCCGCGAGAACTACCTCGTTGCTCACTAAGACCTTGGTCACCGGTCGTCGATTGACAGATGTATTGTAATGAAGGAGTTACATTTCATGATAAACAAGTAATACAGCCTGACGGGTATGTCGCGAATTTCACCATTGATCCGTCAGGGTTGTTATGTGCCAAGACCATGACTTAAAAGACATTACCCCAGGTAGGCGCTGATGATGAATTACGAGATGAGGTGTAGAGCCGTTCATCCACAATATGGGTACGTTTTTTATTGTGATTAAAGTGTAACATTCCTTCCTTGATACGTGTTACCATTCTTGGAAATAATAAACTGTTATAAATAGTGTACGACTACCTCTACATCGTTCATTTACACCCCAAATTTGCATGCGGATGAAGTCGCACCGAATGCCATAGATATTGTGCTACCGGGACACTATAATTGAAGATTTAGACTTGTGGGAACGCCGAGGAAGTTTCTTATCTTGTCCTTTGCGAGGACCTAATCCTGGTTAGAATTTGGTCAAGATCTTTATCGGCCGCATCCCATTCTTCCCGTATTACAGTAGCCTTTTCCTCAGATCTCAAAGTGAAGGAAGCGCGGAAGGGCAATGGACGCGAGTTGAATCCCTGCGTGAATGCCCATGGGTCCACTTCGCATCTTTTTTCTCCATCTTCATTTTCTTCATAGGCATAATTGATATTGAAGGCCCATAGGATACGTGCGATGTTGATAAACAATGAGTTCCTCGCAATATGTTGGCCTGTGCACACGCGGCGTCCGAAGCCGAATGGAGTTAGAGGAAGGGTTGGGTCTTCAATCCAACGATCTGGCCTGAAGCTGTGAGGATCTTTGTATACGTCCTTGTCGAGATGAATGGACCAATGATTTCCAATGACGGTCGCCCCTTTGGGAATGTGAAATCCCATGTATTCATCATCCTGGGTGACAGCATGGGGTATGCCACCAGCAGAGACCGGTCGCCAGCGAAGAGTTTCCTTGATGACCGCATCAACGTAAGGGAGATTATCTTTATCTTCAAAGCAAGGGAACCCTTTTGAGTTTTCATCAATCTCTTTTTGTGCTTTCTTCATCACATCGGGGTTGAGAATCATGGCAAGAGTAAATACTTCAAGAGCCATCGTTGTTGTATCACTCCCAGCTTCGTAGATTATACCCACATCGTACGCCAGCTCTTTTTCTGTCATGCCTGTGGACTCTTTCATTTCAGAAACCTGCTTTGACCAATTCCAAGATTTGCTCCTTTTTCCGTGACGCATATTTCCCATATACAGACTCGATTCAAACTCGTGAACTTGGTCGCCGTGTATCTTCCAAGGCGCCAGACAATTCGGCAGGTAGTTGAGAAACGGAAGAGAATCCACGATCCAGGTACCTACCCTCGCAGCATAGAGAAAGTTTTCCATGACCTTGTCGATTGCCTGGATCTCCGGCTCGCTACCGGTCTCGAGACGTCGGCCATATGCAAGTGCAAATATTAAGCTGGAAGAGTATCGATGATACCGATCCGAGAAATCAACACCGGGCACCAGCAACTCGCAAAGGAGTTGCTTGCTCTCTACATCTTGCAGTTCCCGGTAGGTCTGAGATACTCGGATATTGAGACAAGAGGCTTGAAGACGCTGATGAGTGCGCCACTGCTGGCCATAGGGCATCAGGAGGGTTCGCATTCCCTTGCTCACATTCTCGCCGCCCATCACAGATCGCGGCCTTGAACTGTATATGTTACTTCGCTTGTCTAGCAGATCATGGGCAACTTCGTAGTCACCCAGAATGATGACTGTATTTAGGCCGTACTGAAGGCGGAAGATTGGACCATATATCGTTGACCATTGCTGATATGTTCTCCATGGATTGTTTTGGGGGGCCTGGTGCAAGTTGCCAATCAACGGCAGTTGGCGAGGCCCTGGAAGCAGTCTTTTGCCCTTTGTAGATCGAATTTTATGGAAGATCCAAAGGCACAGAAGAAAGGCCACAGCGACTGGTAAGAGAATCATTTTAATGAAGTCAATAGTTTCAAGTTTCGATTTAAAGACGTGTCCTGAACAGAGAGCGACAGTTCACGCACTACTTTAAGATACTGTTAAATACCTAATAACTAAACACTCGTGGCTACGCTATTAGTGCTAGGTAACAACGACGGTGGTTTTTGGACGATCCCTCTAGTCTCCGAGAATGCGGGGCAAAGAGATGCGGGGGCGGGGCAATTTCCTGGGGCAGCGTTTTCACTTCCGCCTCTCCGGTACTGCAACTTTGGTACTGCAAACAGATAGCGAGTGGTCCTCGACGCATCATCTGTAGGGGCGTTAATACCACACAAGCTATGTCACACAACATTAAGGAATTTTCGCTTTGACGTTGTCTGAAGCATAGGATACCCATGATGTACAGAGATGCAAAGAAGGCGGGGCAATCGTACCTATTTACTCTGATATGGGGAAAGCTCAGAGTGGGATTAATCTTACATTGACGTGACACTTGAAGCATAGAATTGCCATAGTGTATCCAAATCTAAGCTCATAGTTGAAGTCGGGGTGCAAATCCGAGCACGAAGAAGACAGTAATAGACGATGACACGTTAGCCCCTTTCACGGATTCGGAATCTCATATGACTAGATCCAACAGTCTGATTCCAAAGTGGTATTATATTGTGATAGCTATGCCCAAGCTATGATGATATTCACTCCAGAATTACCGTTATTTATGAAGTATTTGGATCCAATATGGCTCAATATTTATAAAGCAACATCTGCAGGGTGGTCTCTAGGGTACCGTAAACCGTGTTCTCGACCTCCTATACCTTTATAAAGGGAACCTGGACATAGCTAGGATAGTCTGCACCCATGTGCACAAAATGAGCCCTTTGTTGCTTGTTGTAAATTTGCCACGCAGCGGTTCGAACTCGGCCAGCCTCATGTCATGCCCAGACACTTTAAATACCAGCTTCTCTCCCTTTTCAAATTTTATACCAGACGGCCAGATGCCAATTTCGAGCTTTACAATCGTCCCTGGCGAGATCTTTTCATCCTCGTTATGGCTATGGAGGGCCCAATGCGGCTTCGATCTATCCATATCTATTTTGCGACGGCTGGCACGGAGGATACCCAATGGTCCAACATACACGTTGGTGTTGATCAGGGCCACCTCTTCGGCGTCTACACCTAACTCCTGGAGGGGAATATTGATGTTTTGAAGAACTTCCCCAGTGGAGTCAGCCTTGCGTATTTGCACAAAAACATCCAGGTCATCGTGATCTGGGCATGACATGTAAAGAACCGCTTTGGAATACCCGACGAGGTAACTATCGGTAGGTAGCGTACAGTCAAAGCTGAGTTCTTCAGAGTCAGAGTCCATCTGGAGAGCTGTAACATCTGACTGATATGACAGTGTTGTCGACATTTGGTCTGGGCTCCATGTAAGTGTGCCATCTTGTGATAGGTAATAGATACGATACTCCGTGCTGGGAACGGGGAAATCGGTGAATATGTGATTGTATTCGGGCTCCTAAAGGCCATGTGAGATGGGTCATACAAAATCGATGAGTTGTTCGTTTTGGATTTTACCTTATTATAACGTAGTGTAGACAGCAGTACCTTCGGTGACTTTTCCCATCCATTCGGTCTAAGTTTCAAGAAGTAATCAAAGAATAGCTGCAAATCCTCTATTCGGGAAGCAGAGTATAGGTCGTGCCATTCCTGAGTTGGGTTAACTCGCAACCTAGAACATCTAGTCAGCTTTCTTCTCTATTATCCAGCGTAATATCTTCATCTTACCACTTATTGTCTGTGGGCAAATCTTCAAACACACGAAAAGAACCGATAGTATGTAGACCAGTCGAATAGCTGGCGAGGACATAACACGGAATTTTAATTTGCTCTATCTTTGCCCTCTTGTCTTCCCAGTATGCGTTCAATCGGGGATACTTTTCCAACATACCAATAACATCTTCCTGGTTGTTTCTTCCTGGACGAGCTTTAGAGACGATGCTTGGAGGTTTGCACGAAGAATTTTAAACTTACCAAAGAGAGTCTGTCCTCCGAGGAATCCCCAAAATGGTAGATAAGGGACACCACCCCTGCATAGCGACTCACGATAGAAGTCACTGCAGCCCTCCAGCGGAGCAAAACAAGTCAGATGAGGAGGATTCTGTGCAGCAATATGCCACTGAGCCATCGCAAGCCAAGAATTTCCGACCATGGCAATCTTGCCACTGCACCACGGCAACCTTGCGACATGTTCAATGGTATCATAGCCATCATGACCCTCCCCTGAGCCAAACCATCAAAGGGGCCATTAGCTCGGAAATTTCTCAGCATGGAACTGGTGGGATTTGAAGCTGACCTGACATCGCCTTGTGAGTCGTATGACCCTCGGCTGTTCACATTGACGATGGCGTAGCCCCTAGCTGTCCACTCTGCCGGGACGGGCCCTTCGAAGCTCTCAAACCCTGAGAGCCTGCTTTGGGCCACACCCACGCGTCCCAGAATGATGTCTAGCCTGAAATATCCTTTCTATTGTTGAGTTCTGAAGTTCTCTGCTCCTGTGTTTTAGGAATCGATTGTAACATACCAGTACCTGATTTCCCGTAAGGACTCCATACCACCAACGCGGGGACGGGATCATTTACGTCCGCTGGTCGAAAGACGTCCGCCCGAATGACTACTCCGTCTCGAAGAGGAACCTCTATATCCTGTTCGAAAATAGCAGCAGCGCGAAATGGACGATGAGAAGACTTTTTTTGAAATCCTGCAGTCAGTGTGCGAGTTGCAGGGTTGAGGCCATTATATTGAGCGCCAGGGGCATGAATTGATGTAAGGGGAGCCTGGAGCACCGGGATGTTATCGATGAATTGCGCCATTATTCACCTACAAATACAGACCGCAAGTCTGCTTCTGTTTACGGAGGTTCGCCTTCTCTTGGTATTAGATAACTGTTCTTAGAAGAATCCTCCCCCGGCTTTGAGAGTTGACTTCTTCCTTAGGAATATTGTTGGTCAAGGAGCAAAGGGTGCTTTTACCTCTGTACTTTTTTCTGTTTTCCCTAATTCCCCGCATTTCCCCTTTTGTAGTTGTGGTCCTCTCAGCTCGTTGTATGATTCGTCCTTGTGCGCGGGGAATACGTTGGACAAGCTTTGCGGGGCAACCACGGAGTACAGAGGCATTCCTGTGAGCTGTGAGAGGCCCCGCAATCCACACACACCTTCATACACACAAGCCCTGATTCAGCTCGTGAATCAACTCAATCCTCTTCGTCGAACTCGGTTAGGTTTCGGTTGTTGAAATATTGCATGGCATCACCCAATCCCTTACCATCGTGGCTCGCACGTCAAATTCGGAAAGGCAATAACTCCCCGCTGGGGCGTGTTTCCACTCATCCAAGCTGATTTCCCGATCCATAATATATCTGGCGAGGGATATGCGGATTGCCATGTAAGCGGGGAGATGAGCGCCTAACATGTTTCGTGATGGAATTGCCGCTTTTTCTTCTCAATTTGCCTTTTTGTGAATGCTTACTCCTGACAGCGCTCCTAAATAACGAAACATTTTACTCCACACGGTATCCTGAGTCGGCCGGGCTACATTAGTTCCAGTCGCTTGGGGAGTGTCCATAGCAGCTAAGGAGCAACCATCAACCAATATGACTGCCCACGCGACCGAACATCTACGTCTTTTACTGGAAGGACGAACTTAAACTTGAACAAGCTACCTGACTAATAATCTGAGCTATTGGGTCAGATCCCGAGAGTGAATAACAACACCCAGGTGCAGTTCAAACAGAATCAGGTACATTTAGTGTGGCATTCACGAAGTTATTACTCAAGTAAAGAGAAACTCGTTGACTACGTGGGCGAACAATGTTATACTACACGCTCCTGTGTTTGCATGGTTATAATCCTCACTCTCCGAGACATCTTTCTACCCGATTTATTATTTCCTCGGTATCTTTATTTATTGCTGCAGATTCTCAGCGCATGTCTTGGTAAACTCGCCAATTCAGAATGTGTGTATTGTGCTAGAATATATAAGATTTAAGGCCTTTAAACGCAATATCTACACACATTTCTAAATAAGTTTCGACCTCTTGCCTATCATGCCACGCATCGTTGTATGCAGCGCTTAGACACAGTTGGCCCCTATATGTTCCCAAAAAGAACCCAAGACCATTCCGAAGCTCTTCTCCTGTTACCCATGGATCAGAAACCGAGATGCCACCAGCCTTTGTAGGTATAATATTATCAATGAGTCCCATGCTAGAGATTGATACGGACGGCTGAGTGCTTGGAGGCGGTATAGGCAAAGGCTCCTTGGCCGCTGGTGGCAGCTGTCGTGTGCTAGAGGCCCAATAGTAAGGCACAAGTTGATAATGTTCTGCATCATCGCGGACATCGTGGTAAAACTGCTTCATCTCTTGGAGAACTCTAAAGAATTCCTCAGATTCCGACTGTTGCTGGTCTACAGTATGGCTACTGCCGACAGCTGGGATGATCATATCTACTAGGAGGCTTGTTCCTGATACTGAGTGATATAATGCGGCCGGATGCTTTGCAGAGTTGTACGGCTCAGTGCAGTTTCCACGTTCGTTCCGTAAAATGTAGCTGACATATCTAAGCGTCTGTGGTTTAGAGCGCTTTTCTTGAAGATTCCTCATCATGAGAGGAATAGCAGCATGGAAGATATGGGTTACAGTAACGCCAATATATGAGCATGCGTGTAGTAGCGTCGAAGTCCTCTCTTGTGAGAGCATCAGCGCAACCCGCTGGTGCTTCCCCGGAGTAATTTCCCCTTTCTTCCACGGAATGAGTAGCGGTGGGATGTCGCTTGCCAATTGTTGTTCTTTTAAAGATGCTACGTTCGCTAACCGCTGTTGCTGAGTCTCTGTCAGGCTTTTCGGTACATTTGCAGCCACACGAAAAGGTGGACTCATGTTGCTTAGCTCGGAGCCGTTGTCAAATGTAGGCAGTTCGAACGAAGATCCTTGATCGTATGCTTTTGACACGATTTTAACAAGATTTCCTAAGAGAAGCAGAGTACCAACACCATCAATAACGTCATGAGGAGAACGTAGAACAAGATCGCGGCGGATCGGGCCAGGGCGGTTTTCTTCATGTAGCACAGATGGCGGTGTGATGACAAACAATGTTGGAAGCTTTGGAGCCGGAGGATCGTTATTTGCCCATTCAGATCCGGTCTTATCGGTAGAGATTGTGACGAACGTTTCATCGATCCAGGCCCGCTGATCAGCTATAGTAGGAATTGTGCGATACACCTTTGTAAATCCATTCGTGCTGGTATCGTGTTTGACTTGTGACACAATTGTGGGGTGATCATGTCTCAGCGTGAGCCAAGCATTACGCAGAGCCGTATCAACGCGAGAATCTAAGTCATCGTGAAAGGAGTCAACGAGGTCGATGGAAAGCGATATGTGGCCGGTAATGGCGAAAAACATTCGACCGCTACCTTCGTACAGCTTCGACAAAGCAGCATAAGATCGTTCGATCTCGTCAACGGAGCGTTGCCAAACCCTCTGCTCGATCTGTTGCCATGCATACTGGTTATAGTGAGTCGCCATTGTTGACTGAGCTTAGTGCGCTTATGATGATTGGTAACTCTGCAACAATTCGAAGCAGAAAATTGTCGCTTGTTCGACCAGTAACTACAAGATCAATTACGCAGGAACGAGATTTTTATACTTACAGATAGGATCCGCAAACCGTAGATTTATATCATGTAAGCGAATGCAACGATTCCATCAGATGATCGCGAATAGCAGCTTCGAACTAATATGGTATTGTGATAAGAGCGGTACTCCCCGAAGGATTTTCCGATATTGAGCCAGTCATACGGCACAGAGAGGTCTTATTAGTCTACTCACAACTGTGCGGCGCGTCCCCGATCCCAGAATTCAAGCTATAACAGTCCCGAGAGCCACTTACACAATTCGCGGTGTGTCCCCGGCCTCAAAACAAAAATAAACAGATCCACATTGATCTTTTTAACTACCAATGATACCAGTGACAACTTCGAGCTTTTCTACGCCCCATCATTATGTGTGTGCAGAACATTTAGTGTAACTCTCAAGATTACCACCCAAGACTGTGGCGATCTGAACAGCTGACGAGGCCAGCCAAATCGTAGTAGGAGGGCTGCAGGTTCCTAGCTACCCGATGTTCGCGTTGGGGAACTCGTGATCATAATCGCTCTCCTTCCCAGATACTGACACTGAAATAACTTCGAGCAACGTTAGCACCTAATTATTTTATTCTAAAGAGTAACCTTTCGATGTACCTCTACTCTAGGATTCAGAGAAAAGAGTGCTAAAATGATGATCGCTTCGTCAAAGAGCCACCCATATTCTTTCGCCACACCAAAACAACGCTAGATCAACGCCTACACATTATGTGCAATAACTCATATATTTCGTCATACCGCTGCCAAGTAAAGCCTAACATAATTTGCATTGTTTGCTGCTGGGTGACGGTTAGGCATTGTTCAAGTATCACGTGTGTCGAAATAGTGATTAAACTATAATAAATATGCGCCTAGGTACTAAAGGTAGTGTACAGACATGACGGCTATCTCTCCTGGCTACAGCAAGCCATCATTAATTTAGCCTATGCTTCGTTTGCCCACTTAAGACCAGAAATTACTCCGTCCGGTATTCTCCCGTCAAGCAACCATACCCTATTTTCCCGTAGAGAATTAGGCCTTTAGAGGTTTGCATCTTCACGTTACAACTAGCTTCTTTTGTTACTTATGAAACATAAATGGCAGAGTGGTTTCTATACTTCTATTCCCTAGGTATTTGGGCCTCCGACTTTCTCACAACTGGCAGTAAATACCCAACATGGCCATCACCGAGACTCGGGTAGTTCCTCAAGGTGCAATGCAGAACATTAATATACCACAATGGAGCAAAATCAGCATCTTTCATTTGGGATAGAATCGGTACGAGGATCAGATGATTGTCTCAGCAAATCTCTGCATCTGGGGCTTCTCTTTCTTCGTGGCTGGCGTCAACGATGCTAGCACTAGTGCTTTGACGCCCTATATCAATCGTGAATACAACATTAACAGTGCTATTGTATCGAATATGTAAGTGGTTATTAAAAAGCATTCCTAAGGTGTGATACTAGAACGCAGCTGACGGGAGCTATGCATTCATATTCATGAGGCTAATTTTCTAGCCTAGCTATTCGCCGCTATTGCCAACACTGATTCCAGCAGATTTCTCAGTCCTGGTTCGATGCTTGAGTTGAACATTTGGACATTTCTTTGCAATGTTCTGGAGCGACCCAAGATACACCTGAAAATACGTATGTGGCTGGCATAAAAGCCACTCACCGATGGTAGACTTTACTTATGCAATATATAACGCTGGATGCTTAATAGAGCTGTTTGTTTCCGTAGCAGTGATATCAGCTGGCAAGGATTCTCAACCGCAATTGATCTACACGGTTCCTTTCGGCCTTGGAATTCTGGAATTATGCCTAACCTCCGTTACATTCAAAGATTTCATGGTGTTACAACGTAACTTCATTGATCATAACAACAATGTAACAAAGAACAAGAACGCTACACCGTTTCTTCAGAAGACCAGAGCCACGCCAAGCATATCGCCGTTAAGTCTCTTCTTCTTCTTTTATCTAGGAGCAGGTGTTACGAGCAACGGATGGATTGTGGAATATCTAGTTAATGCTCGCCACGGTAACTGAAAGCAAAGGGGCTATAATACATTGCATTAACAGTAATAGGCGCTGGTATGTATGCATACGAATTAACTATCTAGCGCATTCAAGCACAATGTGACTCACAAAGTTTTATTTATGCGATATGAGAGATGCAAAATGTACACAATATAGTTGATAACTAGCATCTACAAGATAGATGGCACTAACTTCTACCAATAGTATTATCGGAGCCATTTTTCCAATTCATGAATCCTTTTTAACAGTCACCATATTTTTAGCTGGAACACTCACACTTGTATATACAACGTGACGCCTAGGTCATCACGGCAAGTAGAGATCTACTACATCGTTTTCTTGATCCGTCTTACCGTGAAGATCCCAACATACATTAGTACATTAGTTCAAGGAAGAAAAACATTTAAGCGCATGGCGAATAGTCGTTTTGGGCTTGATCGCCTATCTAAGAGTTCATACACCTGCCGGACCGAACAAATCCATACTAAGACTTATTTCTGCTGGCAGAGATGCATTAGAGTCTTCCTGAGGCCTGCTTACCTTCGCCACAGAAGTCAACGTAGTGTGAAGAAGGTATTAGATGTACAACAAGCCCAATGAGACGCATCATAGATATGAACCAAGAGACTGGCGGTGTCATCCATTTTATATACGGAGCCCGGATGAGAAATCTTTCAGTAGGCGCGAAATTCCATGATGAATGTCATATTTCTCTGTAGATAATGCACGATGAACATAACCTCTTATATTTGTGGGTATGCGCTGTCGATGCCTTATCATTGTCCCAAGATCTATGAAAGCGACGGAGCCTGTCTTTCAAGAATTCCTCCACTGAATCCCTAAAGAATAGGGAGGATGCGCATTGTAAGTGTGAAAATAGCTCACTTCATTCCGACATATAGATTGGTAAGCTTGAAACACAGATAAGGGCTTCAGTACTAGATGTTCCAACCCATGCTAATGGGGGGTTTATTGTGACAAGGTTCCCGGTGATAGGCAAAATGTGGTATCGCTTTGGCACTTTTGTCAGATAGCTGCACTTTTGTTGGAACCTATTATAGGCCCCGTAGTGCTAGGAATGTTATCTATACAGCACTTACCCCATGCGTAAGTAGCACTACCAGCGCGCTAAAAGAAAGAACTCCCATGTTGTTCGTATATGGTGGACAAATGCGGAATAATGGGGACTTGGCAATCTCTGCCGCTGTCAATGTTAAAATACATATCGTAGCAAGTAGGCCCTTTTTTTTTCAATCTAGCTGTCCTTTGGCTTCATTTAATGTCTTTCAAACTACGTTAAAGATGAGACTTTCATGACCCTTACACCAATTATACATAATACAAGTAGAATACCATCCTTCATTCGGTGCAATAGAGATATTTAAACAAAAGCTTGTCATAAGCTTCAAGAGGAGTTAGTTACCTGTGGGGTCATAAATGCTAACCTCAATTCACATAGAGTTCGCAGCGAGCTATCTCACTCCACAGTCCATTTCAGGTAGTAGTAGTTTAAGTGCCTCCGCACTTGATCGGGATAGAGACAGCCGAGTTGGGCGTCGTCGCGAGACTTTGGTGTATGAGCCAAGAAGATTCATTTGATGATATGTCATCGTTAATTCATTTTTGGAAGGTATTTAAAGCATGTCGGACTCTCTAGGTACAGTATCAAAGAATTAACCCGACAGTTCATATTGATTAGAAGGTGGCGGGTCTAGAAATAGAAGTGATACGGACCCCTCTCTAACCCAATTGATCTTTCCGAATAACTGGCATCGTTATAGTAGCTACGGAGTGCATAACATAGATGCGATTATTAGCCTAATATTTTGCCTATCGGCGCAACGATATGACGGTCAGTCACACGTTTTTATGCACCCATTTGAGGGATTTACGCGCATCTACTACCAACGGTCAGCCAACCTCCGTCGAACGTACGAAATGGTTTATCGGAAGTCGAAGTAAGGAGACAGGGTCGTCTCAAGTCATCTGACTGGTCGAGTTTCTCTTCTCTTTTAGCGTCAAATGTGCTGTGATTCCTTGTCACTACCTCTCTCAGTGACAGTTTTCTACGTTTTGGGGTATTCGGCGAACACTAATAGGGCTTAGGGAATGCAATTTCTGGATTTGTATGCTACATACATCCCAGTTAACTAGGACTCTATGGGCTTGACCAAAAATGAAAGTGACAGTTGGGGGTGGTAAATAGGCTAGAAGGCCATGTGTGAATTATACCCCAGCTTCACCGAACTTTTCTCCGAGTTCCAGCAACGTTTCGCTTGCTCCATCAATCGATCGTTGTCAGTGGACATATACGATCATTTGAGACTCTAATCATGTATAAGTATCGGGTGGTTGTCCTGGATAAATGCAAGGCTTGCCAACGATACCGCAGATAAGAGCTGATCTTGAGATCGTCTCTGGTCTGAGGTGACCCCCTTGTTCCTTCGTAACGAGTTCCAACATGCGCTTATTAAACTTTTTGACGGTCCTGACGGCTGCTGCCGGGGGACTTTCTGTTGAAGCTTCCTTGTTGAGACGCGACGATGCTTCTGCCACCAACGACACTTCGTCTGCCCCCATTCCTAATCGCTATATCGTGGAGTTTGCGGAGGTCAGTTCTGAATTATAAGCAAGTTCTCTCGTCCTTTACCTACATGCTAATGAGGGTGATCAGGGTGTTAATCCTCAACAAGCAGCGAGTGATCTCGCGAATGCAGGGGCTTCTGTGCTTAAAATTTTTGACTCAGATGTCTTCAGTGGTGCATCAGTATTGTCGGATACGCATAATCTGGACACACTACAATCACTTACACCAGTCCTTCGATCATGGCACTCCAAGAAGATCAAATTAACAGCCCCTATTGCAACCTCACAAACGTTCGGTCCTGGTGCGGCAAGTGCCAACTTCTCCGTCCATCACATGACTGGCGTGGATAAGCTTCATGAAGCCGGAATTCTAGGAAAGGGTGCTAAAGTAGCTGTTGTCGATACCGGCGTTTGGTATCCACACCACGCGGTAAGAGAATCTTTTCATTTTCTATTGGCAAGAGATCCCTAAACTCATTCTCCAACAGCTCGGTGGTGGTTTTGGACCTGGCTTCAAAGTTGCTGGGGGTTACGATCTTGTTGGCACTTGTATGTAACAAAAGTCCTTCTTATACATATGATACACTTACTTATCAGTCGCCAGGGTGGGGTTATAACACTTCAGACAAGTCACCGAAGCCAGATCCGCTAGATGGCCTAGGACATGGAACTCACGTCTCGGGAATCATTGCCGGACAGGCCGACAGGTTAGTCAGCTAATATATAGCTGTTCATGGTGAATGTCTCAAAGCTAATTTAACGCAGCTATGTCGGGGTAGCACCTGAGGCTTCCTTGTATGTTTACAAGGTTTTCGGTGATTATGCAGATTACACCGACACTGACACACTTATTGATGCCTTCCTGATGGCGTACAGCGATGGGGTATGTTGCAATATATCATCCTACCTAACAGTCATCGCCCTTTTTTCCCCTTTAGTACTAATAAACACACGTCACGCCTCTTTAGGCCGATATCATCACGTCATCTGTTGGTGGTCAATCTGGCTTCTCAGATGATCCATGGGCGGTGACCGCCTCCCGTCTCGCGGAAAAGGGCGTGGTAGTAACTATTGCCAACGGCAACGACGGTACTAGTGGCCCCTTTAGTGAGAGTAATGGCTCGAACGGCGAGTTTGTTCTCGCCGTGGCTTCTGTCAATTCCGATGTCACTGCAGAGGCTGCTTTTGAGGCTACATTCGAAAGCCATACTTCGAAGAAGATCACTGTCTCATACCAAGCGTCAGTCTTCTGGGACTCGGCTGCATATGATGGATGGCCTATCGTTCCATTTAATACTGATCCTTCTGCCCCAACTGACGCCTGCCATGCGTTCAATAGCGGCTGGAATCTCAACTACACAAACTCCATCGTTCTCGTCAGCGACGGTGCATGCAATTGGCAGACGAAGCTCTCTGTGCTCAACGCTTTACACAATTATACATTGCCTATCCTGATATACACTTCCCAATATCCTGTTAGCGCATTTTTCAATGGCTCTGGAGATAGCACGGTCGGCTATATCCCTCTCGATGCAGGTGAAACCTTCATGCAGGCTCTTCGGACTGGTGTTAAAGTCACAGCAAGTTTCAAGAACACTGTCGAGCATCTTAAATTTCTGCCGAGCCCGGCTTTCTATGGAGGAGGAATGCCCAGTTATTACAGCAGCGTTGGCCCCACGAACGATTTAGCACTGAAGCCGGATGTTGCAGCACCTGGTGGAGACATTTTCTCGACTTACCTTGACGATGGCTGGGCAATTTTAAGTGGCACATCTATGGCTACTCCCTACATTGCCGGTGTTGCGGCGCTCTATATAGGCAAGTACGGAGGTAGACATGTCCACGGCCCTGGCTTTGCCAAAGACTTGTCAATGCGAATCATTGCGTCTGGAAAATCACTAGATTGGCTTTCTGACCCATTGAATCCTGGCACCTCTGACATCCGAGCTCCTGTTTTCCAGGTCGGTACTGGCCTGGTGAATGCGTCTAAAGTCCTGAACTTCCAAACGAGCCTGTCATTCTCAAAATTCATGCTCAACGACACGCACAACTTCGAACGATACCACAGCGTTGATATCACAAATAACAGCCCGCGTCCAATTACTTACACGTTTTCTGTCGAAGCTAGCGGCGCAATAGATACGATGGTAAGCAACCAGGACCCTTCAGGAAAGCCTGTTGTTGGAGTGTACACCCAAGTCTTCGCTGCTCCCTACGCTGCTGTCCCGTCAGTGACGCTACCTCACGGCACATTTACCGTCAAACCAGGCCAGACAAAGACGGCGAACATCAACTTTATGTATCCATCGGGCTTGAACGCGACCAACTTGCCGTTATACAGTGGCAAGATCATCATCACGGGAAGCAACGGGGAATCACTCGCAGTACCATACATGGGTGTCGGTGCAAACATTCATAAAGACCTGGATTCGGTATTCTATTACGGCAGCGGGCTTCCCGGCATCACCTCTGGGAGCCGAGGAACACCAATCGGAGACGCTCCTAGCTGGAGCTTCAATGTCAACCCTTTTGTCAAGTCCTACCCTACTTTGCGTCTTGCCTTCAACTTTGATACAACTGAGTTTCGCTGGGATATATTCGAGTCCACTTGGAGGGAGAAAGACTGGACGTACCCCCCTGTCGTCGGTAAGAAAGGCTACGTCGGAGCGGCTTCCCTCTGGTCGAATGGCATTCCGCTTCTCATTCCTAACACAAGCGATGTCTCTGCAACACCGTTTACAGACATACCAAGAAGCATTAGTGGTTCATATGCGTGGCTTTGGTTTGGACAACTCGCGAACGGGTCTCAGATGACACCAGGAACATACTGGATGAGACTGGCGGCGCTACGCCCATTTAGCACCAACCCACAAAACTCTGACAACTGGGACATCTTCACAACGCCGCAATTCCAAGTTACTCCTCTCCCTACTGAGGATAAATTTAGATAATCGGCTTCCTTGTGCTTAGAATACATTAACAGGGTCCATACACACGTAGCCAACCAAGAAGCGTCCTTTCTTCCAAGTTTGCGCACGTCAAATATGCTACTCCTAACTTCCATACATAACTTCGTGTACTTCGTAGAGAGAATCATGTCTGCCTGTCCAGGGTATCTACAAAATATGTCATAGTGGTAGTTAACGATGTTCAAGCTGCGATAACAATCTTATTGATTGGACTTCTACATGTGGAATGCTATGAGACAGGCTGAGGTCAGGCCACGGCCAATCAATGGTCAAACATTTCTTCCGTTTGTGCTGGATCCAAGACGCGGAGAATTATGGATGCAACATAGCGGTAGGTAATTATAACCAGATAGACATGGTGACTATTGGTCGTAATAGCAGTCTTGTTCCATCAAACTTTATTTTGAACTCAGCCACATTGCACATGCATGGCGCGTGTAAAAGCAGTTCATCACGATTAAGACGCTCGTGGTCAACGTTTCATAGTTGTATTTCACCAGTTCGGCCGATGTAATAGCACCTAACGAGTATGTGTTTCACGCCCTGTTTGATCAGAACACGAAAAAAAATCAGGCGTGGAACTAACAAGCTATGAGATCCATAAATTGGTCATTCATGTACTTCACATCGCTCGCACCGATCTCAGCTAGAACGATTGTGGATTAATCAAGCTTGCCAAACACGCGCTACAGACTCAGTAAAGGCTCTGTGATCTTTTTGTTTTGTTCAACAGCAGCCTAAAGATCGTCAATCGGCTGTTCTGGCCTGTCGATCACACTGATATTTCCTAGAACAAGCATACCGGTCAAGACCTCCACCTCCACCTCCACTTTGTCATTTCTTTCACCGCCATCTACTAATTAGTCGTTATTACCAGTTCTTTGGAGCTTTGACAGCTGTGGTTATGGGTCCAGGCTCGAAACAAGGTGATTTCTACAGTCAGTGACGCTGTGCTTTCTGAATTAGAGCACAGGGGTGGAATCTAAAGCCCAAATTCTAAATTAAAGACACTCTAACAGCTATTCTCGTCTAGATCAAGTATTCAACAGTACGTGCATCTGTGAGTATATCCTGTAGTAGAAATAATTTACACTTTGCACACCTTTTTATTTATTTCGCATCGAAATTAATGTTTCCTGCCTCATTATCCTGAAACAAATGCCACGTCATTATATCCCTAATATCGTTCTTGAAATTGCCCTAAAGTGTATTTGTTTGTGGCAAAGTTTTAGCACCACTTCTAGGACAGAAGTGAAGCTGATGTTTTATAAAATCGAATAGGGATCTATGTAAGTACATAACACTACACTAGAAATAAACGCAGATCTGCTATATAAAGTCATCCGCAAGGAATGGTGCTGATAGGGAAGGGCGTTTTTGAGGATTCTTGACAACTTGAACATCAAGCCCCAGCCTTTGGTTGTTCGCCATGTTCCGGAGGCTTTGTATGCACCAATTTTTCTGTTCAATGTTATTTCTTTGTTCCCAATACCAATGAAGGTTAAAAAAATATGCCATGACGCCTTGAGCTTGGAGTGTGTTGTCTGCTAGGCCCTTATCTAGCGTCCTTCTAATATAGTCGGCAAATCGATCTAAGGTATTATAGTCCTTACCCAAGTTTTTCAAGTCAGCGGATAGCTGAATAGGATCTGAAACAAGTGCTGATAAAGTAGAAAATCGGTTGTGTAACTGCCTGATGAGCAAGTTAAAACGGATCGTTAATGACCAATGAAGCATCCACAGGTCGCTAGCTTGAGCAGCGGTAACGCCTATGTCATGCGGCTGAGGGCTGATGTTGATCTCAGCATCTGAAGCTTCTATCACAATAGGGCATGGAGTAACAGCAGTCATTTCTGGAAGCCATTGATCCAGATTGTTCTCTACTATGGATGCACAATTGAGCAGATATTGTGTCGTGAGGAGGCCTCGCCGTACTTTTTTCTCAGGCTGAAAGACTGTGGCATCTAATCTGTCTGCATACTCACATAGAGTAGGTAGCGTTATAACTGCTTCGATGGCTTTGTGCGTAAGGTAATTCGGATCCTCTTTCTTAGCTAGGCAAAGAGTATTGTATGGTGCATGGCACATAAAATATCCTCGCCTATGTCTCGCTGCGTCATAAAACTAAAGAAGACTGAGTAAATAGTGTGCAGAATTTTAGGGCAATGAACATACGCCAAGATATCGAAGCCTTTGTACAAGAATTCTCGTCAAATCGCTACACGGAAAGTTTGCGCCAAACCGTTGCACCAGATGCAAACCGCCCTTGATGTGTGCCATATAACCGCCATTGGCTCCTTCGCCTGCTAGAAGCTCGACGCGAGAAAAAATCATGATGCTCGCTAAAGCGGATGCAATATCCACAGGAGATGGCTTTTGCCTGACCCATATGTCGCTTCTCCGGAGACCATGGAGTGCATTCGAGTAAAGCTCGGCTGAGCGGTTGATGAGCGCCGCGTCGCCATTTTTACGGCCAACAAAGCCCGTATATAGGGCAAGCAGTCCTTGATTCAGAGTTTCATTCCGACTACTAAGCAAAGTAGCCAATGAGCTTATCCAAGAGCCAGGAGAGTTGACGTTTTGCCGCAGGTCTGTATTTTTAGGGAAAAGCAGGTCCATGAACACGCTGGAAAAGGCATCACAGACCACTGCAGTTTGTCCCAGTTGCATACATAGCGGGGCTTGCAAGTTTGGTTCAGCGAAGCTCCTAGTCTGATCGATAACACCATCAGATCTACCTTCCTCGTGAGTTACCTTCTTGGCATTCCCACCCTTTGGCCAAGTTTTACTCGTCGTTATCTTGAAGCTGTAACTGCGCTCATAACCCAGGCATTTCCTGCCAGTAGTGAAGCAACGCTGACACTCCGGCATTTCAAAGTCACACTGCCAAGTTCCTAGTTAATCATTGCATTGTGAACGCAACTGCAAAGATTCATAACGTACTCTGACCTTCCTTCGGCGACATGTCCCACAGGCCCCTCTGTGGTGTTGTTTGGAGTCCATTTGAGGTAGTGATTCCTGAAAGCTACCAATAATGTGAACAGTGAAATACGAGTATCGAAAGGATGGAACGGAATAGGATACTTTGTGCGAGTTCAAGCAGTAGCCTAACTTTTGCAGCCTTCAGTGACTTCGGTGACTCTTTGACCCGCCAACCACAAAGCTTTTGGCTCCAGAATCGTTGCTTACGCTGTTCTTCAGAGCATAAACGCATGAACCATGTGAACCATTAGCGTAACAGGATGGAACGTCATCAAGCAATACGCTAACCAAAAACGGTATATGTTTGCCGAGATACTGCATTAGCACCTCCAGGGGCTGCTTTCAGTGGATTTATTCTTAGTCTTAGTTGGCACTAATAATCCATAACCTACACACGAGATTTCACTTACTCTATGAGTGTGAAAGACGTCGTTATAACAGCCCACATTGTTGACCAAGAGTTGCTTCTGGGAAGACTCAGACATTGCAAGATCATCCTGTATGTTCTAGACATGACTGTTTGGAAACAGTTAAAAACAACGGTGTGGTAATTTTCACTATCTTCCCGTACTTTTTTGCTAACCCAAATGACCGCAATGTTGATTGAATGGACATGAAATATTCCCCTTTTAGCCGTAAAGATTTCTAGTACAACTCTGATACTTTCACCAAGCATCTTTTCTCCACTGAGGCATTTGAGGATATGTAATTCAATAGAGGCTGAGGAGCGAGTTAATTGCAGTAGTGCTTTGTTAAGAGCGTGTGGGGGTTGAAGTGCCTTTGCACACATCTGTCCCCCGTATACCTTAACCTATACATTTACTACGTAGTTTCCCATGTTTTATCTCCCACTGAATAGTCTATCCTCAAGAGAGTTGAGCAGCACTGCGGCTGACAGGATACTAGTTAATACTGGCTAAAACTTTAACCCAGCACACTCAGCCAGGGTACTGCACAGCTTTTATAAGATGCCGTTAACAACTGCGGTAATATTGGTGGCAACCCCCTCCCAAGGCTAATAATAAATTATGGAATGGCGAGTTGGCATACGAGGACCAATGTAGCATGAGGAACATAACATCTACTTGTCCAAATCTATGCGACGTATACGACACAACCTGGACGGGTTGCAGGGCCCCTCTATCAAAGTCCGGGCCTATTACCATAATACCCAATGTAGAAGTACTGCTCGTTGCATGGCCGTGAGATAATGGTGCATTGCTGGAATTTGTTTCCAGAATCGTCGATCATCTCTACGGACACATTTATTTGGAAATAGACTCTCTGATTCATTGTACGTAGTAGTAGCTTTTTTTTTGCCTCACACGGATCCATCGCCGGAATCTTGTGAGTGTGCTTGTGTGAAGACCCCCCCTTTAGTAGCGGTAGTCGCTGGCGCCATTGCTATGTGCTCGCCTTGTTTTTCACCGTTCTTCGATTCGCCATAGGGCGCAATAGAGGCTTGGAACCGATACCAAGTGCTGGATCTCTCTTTCATCCAATCTTGAGGTGACATCAACGTTAGCATGGTGAAATTCTTGAAAAATCTGCACATTCAATCCAGACATACCATTTAGCTTGTATGATATTTCCACGGGAATCGGCAACCAGGTAAACAGTGCGGCGACTTGACCAAAGCCCCATTCGTTGTCCTCAAAATCAGGCCCTGCCACCTTGATGAGCTCACCTCTTTGGCCCCAGAGCTTGACCAGCCCCCATATCATGCCCACTAACGATAGTGTGGTCAGCAGCCCCCACACAATCGCCATAACAGTCAAGACCCTCCGTAAGCTTGGCCGTTGCTTGATCCGAGGGAACACAGTAGTGGCAGTTTGCGCAAAGAATGATATGATGCACAAGCTGGCAGCCGTATACACCACGGCCTTGTTATATGGGACTGGCGTGATCTTGCGGAAAGCCGGTTCGTTCTGGCAACCTAAGCTGGCCTGCAGCCAGTCCGTCTCTGAATGCCCTGACAGTTGGCTTTGGGATAAAGCGGCAGTGGCCAGAGTGAAGCCCAAAAGGAACTGAAAGAATCGCTGCCACCACTTGGCGATTGGGTGAACGAGGCAGAAAAATATTACTAACAGAGAATTAAGCTGCACAAAGTTCAATATCTGCATCTCGGCAATTTCGAAGATTGTAGGATGTTGGCCCATGCGAACTAGCGTCGCCACCGCAGACGCCAGAATGAGAAACCCATTAGACTCCCAAAAAATCGACTGCACGTCGATGCTTTCTCTGAAGAGTTTCCGCAGCATGAAGAAGTCCCCCGAGGGGAGAAAATTCTCAAATATATCAAGACCGCGCAAAAGAGGCCCAAAAATAATAGTTAAAGCAACTTGAAAGGAATATGCATACATCATCTACCAACTTGGTTAGGAAATGGCGCTTGACGATGTTTGCGGGGCAGAATTAATGAAGAGCCCACTTACTCCAATGCCAGATAAGTCTGGATTTCCCGTGCCAAATGTGAGGATACATAGATTTGGACATTGTTCAATCTCGGCCGTAATATTGAGTTCATGTTCCGTTGCGTAATCAAAGAATGCTTCAATGGTAGTAAAGTTGCAGTCCACGGATACTGCCTCCAAAACCGTGGAAATACTCTTCAAGTACGCCATATTATAATATGCTGATGCATGAAAAGGCGCTTGGGACAGATTAGGTGACCAGCCTACGGCCCATTTATGCTTCAGTTGCTTTGGTTCAACATTCCTGGGTTTATGTGCCGCATCTGACATAAATTAAGCTACATGCAAGCCTTCGCATTCTGTATCCCTATAAATAAAAAGTTGGACAAATTAACGACTGGGATATATATTTGGTATGTTACGAAACTATAAATAGGCGCAGTGGTCTTCTTCTGGCTGATAGTTTGCAACAGATATATCAGTAGCCCTACTTAAAGATACTGTATTGTTGCTTATAACAAGAACGACCATGGCCTCCAGAATCCAGCGACAGCTCGGCCGAGTTCTAGCAACGCCAACTGAAATGCAATATCAAGGTCACTTCTATGTTAACAAGCAGCATGAACAAACTGTCAGTTTGTGAATCTGACTTTTACAAAGAAGAAGTTCTGAATTGAGAGAATAGGCGAGGATGATCTTCCTAAAGCATACGCAACCATACGATTTCGGCGTTATGTGAAATGCCGAGCTTGTATGTGGCCCCGCCAAGCTCGGACGCGGTTTCTCTTTTCAGATACAACCGGCGTTACATTCCACTGTGCTCATGATCGTCTGACAGGCTGTATCTGGGTCAAGTGTAGGGTGATCATTGGCCACCAAGTAATCTAAATATAAGTTTGGGTAAGCAAATAGTCTCTTGCCTAAGAAGATTGAGTAAATTTACAAAGAAAGATAGGAATTGCACTTCGCAAGTCCCATAGAGAGCCATTTACCAATATCGCGATGTCATTAATTACTATATTTAACTATCAACTACGTAGCAAAACTTTCTGAATTGTCCACGGTTGGTTGACAATAAGAGAACGTATGCTTGAACTGGCTCAACCAGAACCTGAACACAACATGGGAAATACGTAGTTCTATCATAAGGACCAAGGCGGGGACAGGAACCAGAATCTGATTTACTGCAGCAGCCGCAACTGCACTGCTCTTCAGATAAAGTCCCTATTACAGTTAAGGGATATTTGAGTTAACTAGCGTGTCTGGCTTCATTTATCTAGATACAGGACGGCATTTTAACGAAGGAATCCGGTTTTGTGACAGTTTAACCAATCACACTACCCATTCTTGAATGATGAGGTTAACTGTAAATTATTCTCTGTTAATATAAATCCGTTGGCCTATCAATCTATCTAAAATCGATTGGTTACAACGGTACTCAGTATGCCTTGAGAACAATAACCCAGCACTAAGTAATAATATTCTAGAATGATAGGGCCAGTCAGTGAAATGATTTGAAGCTTGATAAAATCACTTTGAATGAGCTTATTGTACGAAGCTATGATCTCATCTTCATAATACGGCCCTTGTTGCCATGGTGCCGTTTGTAGCCTCTATCGAGTTCTGACACTTGCTGGGTAACGATGCACAAAATTGCGTACTGCGCTCCACTGGAGATCATCTAGTACCCAAATATTCCGGGTACTTAGGCCATAAGCTACATTGCTGTTATTTATGTAAGAATGTCAGCGCCGAACTGAAAGTTCTGTCACACGCTAATAAATGTCTAGGTCCCAATGGCATCGTCCCAACGGCATCCCATATCTCAGGGTATCATGTGGTGGTGAATCACAGCGGCTTCATCTTCACCTGTCATATGACGAACTCGGCCAAACTCCACTGATATCCTTCCAACTCTTACGTCTCACACTCGTCCTTTTTTAGGGGGTAAATGGTTCGGTGAAAGAAATAAAATATGTTTTGCTACACGAGAAATGTTCTAGTTACAAATGAAGAAAAGAGTGTAAATGACGCAAGAAACAGTAACTACCCATATCGTTCATCTTCTCATCTCCAACTTCGTGCCGTTTACACTCCCTTCTTTCTCAATGGCTATCTCATGTGACGCAAGGAAATAAGGGAACCCGGCCGTTTTAATTTTACCAATCCACTTTAGCAGCGGTATTTTCTCGAGATTGCCGCTGCCGCTTTGCTCCTGATTAAAGCATGCAGCAAGCTCTGCGCCCGTGACGGTGAGAAGACTCTCATAATTGCGAAACTGAACTGAGCCGGACCGCTCCTCATTATTGAGCAAGGCCTCGCAGAGCCATTGCGCTGTCAGCACCGCGGGGAGCATGTCTAGACGACCAGACCACCCGCTCAAGTCGGGTGTTGCGCGTATAATGCTACCATAGTGGGTGAACTCATCCAGAAGGGCTTGGGGGGCATCCTGTCGCATTGATGCGGGGCAGAGGCGGTAGATGGACGATGGGACACCCAGATCTGCCGCAGAACGCTCCAGGATGCGCTCACTGGCCCACCTAGTTGCTGCATAGCCACTGCTTCCGTCTGTGGGAGGCGGATGCGCCGCAGCCGACACTGCACTTCCATCGAGTGCCGCGGTACTCCCACCAAATAGGCTTGCCGTGGAGATATAATGGATCGGCACACGGCGAGGCGCGGCCAGCTTGACCAAGTCGCTCGTCGAGGCGACGTTGATGGGGCGTAGCACGTGGTAGCTGTCCCAGAAAGAGCGAGCGGCGCCCATGTGCAGTATGGCATCAGCCGTGGCCGAAAGCTCGTTGAATTCCTCTTTGGAGAGACCCAGCAATGGTGATGACAAGTCTCCTGGGTGGTGGACGACCTTGGGTGATGAGTACGCTCTTTCAATGTCTCGCACGGCCAAACAATGGATCACATCGACATCCGGCCTCGCGTCAAGCATGGGGAGCAGGTGCTTGGAGAGGAAGCCGGTGGCGCCCGTAATCACGATTGTTGCTCCTTTTCTGGCTCGGTCGACGGGCACGGGGGCAATGGCAGGGGCAGAGACAGTAGGGGGCCTGGTGTCGTACTCCCAGTCAATGGTTTTAACGGAGATGGTTTCCTCGACCTTTTGTGCCATTTCGCCCAGAGTATTGGCACCAAGAAGATCGACAAGGGGCACAGCGGCACGGAACCTCTTCCGGATCTCGGATTGCAGGCGAATGATCAATAGTGAGTTGCCACCGACCAGGAAGAAACTAGTGGACGGAGTAATGTCAAAACCAAGTTGATCGATGGCTTTCCCCAAGACACCCCGCCATAGGCCCTTGAGCTGAATCATGGTCTCTGTCAGTTCTGCATCGTCACTAGCATCGGGCCGACCAACTCTCTGGGGCAGAGGTAAGCTTTTGACAGCCTTGCGGTCTACCTTGGAGTGATTGGTCAGAGGCAGCTCGTCGATGGGAATAGCCACGACAGGAATCATGTACTGCGGAACTGGGAGGTTGTGTAGTAGCTGTTGGAGGAATGCTTCCTTGTCCGCAATGGTGCACTCTGGTACAAAAACCACATGAGCGACCAGGAACTCCGGATCGCCCTCGCGTAGCGTGACCACAGCTTCTCGCAGAGCCCCCTGGGAAGCCGCAACAATATTGCTCTCGATATCGCTGAGCTCGATGCGTAGTCCGCGGATCTTGACCTGCGTGTCACCCGCCATACGACTGTGGAAGACCATCGTGCCATCCTGGTTCATGTGGCCAATGTCTCCTGTGAGGTACATGCGTGTCCAGCCGTTTGCGATATCCTCCTCTGTGGCAAATGGGTTAGGTAAGAAGTGTTTATCGGTGAGCTCTTGGTTTTTCAAGTAGCCAAGCGACACGCCTGTACCACCGATGCAGAGCTGTCCCGGCATACCAGCGGGCAGCGGCCTCAATTCCTCGTCGACGGCGTACATGTAATACCCAGGCAACGAGTAGCCGCAGGGAATACGACCCACACGCTCTAACGCTTCCCTGTCTCGGTACGGAATCTCCATTTTGGTGGAAGATATAGAAATCTCCGTGGGTCCGTATGAGTTGAAGAAGTGGAGCTGTGGAAGGTCGAGGTCCGCGAATTGCTGCGTGACGGTCGTCGTGAGCGATTCGCCGCCTCCGAAAGCAAAGCGCCAAGAAGTGGCGAGTCGGAGGCTTTCACGGCCATATAACATCCATAGCGAATACTCGGACGGGGTAGCCTTGGTGTACGTGATGCCCTGCTCTTGGATAATTTTGGTAATCTCCAGTGCGTTGCCGCGTTTGTCCCAAGGAACGACATACACCATGCCGCCGTTAACGAGGCCTGTGTAAATCTGGTCCGAAGAGTCTATCCGAAGGAAATGGTTACTGAAAGCTGCAAGGAAAGCAAGAATGGAAATTGGCTAGGTCAAATAACTTACGGTTAAAGGTAAAGGCACTCTGCTGGAGCACACGTTCGGGTCCCAGCTTCCAGGTCTTTGTATAGCCTTCGATCTCATTCCTCAGGCCCTCGTGGGTGACCATGATGCCTTTAGGCGTTCCTGTGGAACCGCTCGTATACAAAATTGCGGCAGTCGAGTGCGCTCGTGAGTCGTTGATAACCTCATTTGAAGGAGAGGTCTTTACGAGGGATACATCAATGAGTCGTGCCGAGGGTACACCGAGCTGAGACGCATCATCTAACGTGGAGGCATCTGCTAAGATCGCTGTAGGCTCACAATCCTGGGCGACGGCTGCCAGACGCGGCAGGGGATTGCGAAGATCAAGCGGAACGTAAATCGCACCCAGCCGCATGATGGCAAGCATCGAACACGGCCAGTCGGAAGTTGCCTGCTGGAATACAAGTACCCGTAGTCCAGGTCCGACTCCCGCTTCTTGCAAGGCCTCGGCGATGGCGTGAATGCGGTTGATCATTGACGCATAAGTCAGTGCCTTACCTGTGCCGTCCATAAGGGCAACCTTGTCTGGATTCTCCCGAGCAACCTGGTCGATTCGAAGGGGCAGCGTCTCTGGCCAGTCGGAAACGAGCTTCGGGCCTGTTGAATATTGGATAAGAGTTAGCCTCTTCAACAGTACAAATTATAATTGTGTTAGATAGGAAGAGGAAAACTTACCGCGACCAACTTGGACGGCTTCCGCCAGCTGCTTCTCACTAAACCGGGGGATCGCACTCATCACCAGGGAAGGTTCACTAGTGAGAACCTCAAGGAAGTGGACATAGGTATCGCAAAGCAGCTGGGTCGCTTCTTGGTCATAGATACTCTTTTGCCCGCGGAAAAAGATGAAAGCCGCGGCATCCGTTTCGGTAACGTCAACGGTTATATCATACGCCGTCTTCCCTGTGTGTACCTCTTCTGACATGCGCATTTGGCAGTTGCCCCAAGTCTGTTCCTCCTGGTGGCCTTGGCGGTAGTCGATAAAGGCCTGGAAAAATGGGCTGTGTGTCGAAGAGCGTGCAACGTTCAGCTCTGACAACAGGACATCAAAGGGCACCCGCGAGTTCTCCAGCGCGGCATGGCTAATCTTGCGCGCCTCCGCGATGGCCTCGGTGAATGGCTGGTTGGCTTGACGGCGGAATCGCAATGTCAGCAAGTTGAGGAAGAACCCTATACTTCCCATCAAGCTGCTGTCATGGCGAGCCCCATCAGCAACTCCAATGGTCAATTCATCTGCGTCGGTAAAACAAAAGAGTAGGGCTTTGAAGGCAGCCAGGTATAGATGGAATGGAGTGGACCGCTGCTGCTTGGCGACCGTTCGGACCTTTGCAGCTAAGGCGGCGTCGACTCGAGCTTGAACCTGGTGAGTATCGAACTTGGCCATGGGAACTCGGGCGTTTGTTCGGGCCATGGGAAGTAGAGGGAGCACGGGTGGCTGCTCGCCATCCGGGAAAATACGCCGCCAAAACGCCAACTCCTTTTTCATTTCGCCATTCTCAAAGGCCTGGCGCTGTGCCTTTGAGAAATCTGGGTACTGCTTCGGGGCCGGCCCGAGAGACTCACCCTTGTACGCCTTTTCTAAATCCGAAAGGAAAACCTGTAAACTGATGCCGTCCATGATGATGTGGTGGTGGTACATAAGAAGGAAATGCGATGACGGCGAGAGCGTGAGAAGTACCAGCTTCAGCAGCTCGCCGCTCGCCATGTCAAGGTCGTGGGCCCGCAGGCTTTGATACTCTGAAGCGACATCATCTTCAGAGTCTATTTTCTTGCAGATCAGGCGTACTGGGGAACTAGGGAGAACCTTCTGGTAAGCCTGGGAAGCATCGGTCTCGTCTTGTACAAAACAGGTGCGCAGAGCCTCGTGTCTGGAAGCGACAAGGCGGACGGCTCTCTCCATATCACCCACGTCCAGGTTGCCCTTGATGTGGTAGTAGTACGCCACGTTGTGAGTCCTCTGGTCGTCCAACAACTGCTGGAGGAACCAGAAGCGCGACTGCCCAAGAGATATGGGCACGCTCTTGATGAACCGTTTCGCAGGGCGCTTGCGCTCCACTGCCGGCTCGGGAGGTGGTGGGAAGTAGGATTGGAGCTTGGAACTGACCTTCTGAGACAGCCGCGTGGCTTCCGAGGGAGAGCCGGACCGGGTCGACGCCTCGGTGGCCGAATAGCTCGCCGGGCCAGCGCTGAGCAGTGGTGTCCCGGCAGGGCTGACGCTGACTTCAGAGGGGGGACCGTTTGAATCGACAACAAAGGATGGCACCGGGAGAGGCTTGGGCTTCGGGGCTACGGGCTGGGGCTGGGCACTGGAAGCCGGTGGTTGTGATTCCCCTTGTTTACCGACGCTGACAAGGAGTTCTTCAGGCAGTTTGTCCACGGCCCTGTCGCAAAGTTCGGCCAAGGACGCTCCTCCGACCACCTTGAGCACGGGAATGTCCACTCGGACTTCTTTCAAGAACCACGAGCGGACCTCGACCGCGACGAGCGAGTCGATGCCAAGCTCAACAAGCGGCGCATCGTAATCTATATCCTGGCTACCCAGCTGCAGGATCACGCGTAGCTTGGTAGCGAAACATTCTGTTGACACAAGTTTGTTAGCGCAGTTCATCGGTTAATGTTAATGCAGCTCCCCCTATCATCTTCATCCAGCTTGTTTTACCTTTCAGGATGTCCAATGCCTGCTCTCGGCTGGTTGCCTTGACCAGCTGCCGGGCTGCAGGGATGTTGGACTTTTTGTCGGAACTGTCAGACTCCAGCTCGGCCACCTTGGCATCGATGACACAGTGGGAGAAGAAAGGGTTGGTAAACCATGGCCCCTTGATGTTTTCGTCTTCGGAAAAGTTACGAATACCAGACGTCACAACCGCGAAGGGTGTCTCCTCAGCGTCCTTGGGATCCGGTCGGCCAGCTCGGATGGTCTCGGCGAATACCTGTTGCAGATCAGCTTCGGACAGCCGTTGCAGACCGAGCGCGGACAGCTGATCCATGACGATTTGGCCTGCCGACTCAATATATCCGACACCAGCCACCTGTCCAATATCAAAGGTGCTACCTGCCACACCACGACGACGTCTCTGCCTAGAAAGAGAGTTGAGGTAGCCATTGGCGGCCGCATAGTTGGCCTGGCCAAGATTACCGACAACGCATGCGGCTGACGAGAACAAGACAAAGAAATCTAGGTCATCGTCGTAGAAAAGCTGGTCCAGATATATAGCACCATCAATCTTGGGAGCGAGGACTGTTTTCATGTCCTCAACTGTCATCTTGGAAAACAGGGAGTCGTGGAGAACCATAGAACCATGAGCTACGCCGCCAATGGGAGGGCAGGTTGCCCGGATCTCGTTCATAACGGTCTCGACACTGGTTATATCAGTGGAGTCCATCGAATAGATCTTGACGTCTCCGCCGGTTCCCTGGAAGCTCTCGATCCATGCTGGCTCAATGTTGGGGTTACGACTCATCAGGCAGACACATCCGGCTCCATTGGCAACCAGCCACTTGGCGATAGACTGCCCTATCTTACCGGTGAGGCCTACGAGGAGATATGTCTTGTCCCTTGAAAAGAGGCCGGTGCCGTCGATCGAGCTCACGCCCACCTTGACAAGGCCCGTTGAAGGCCAGTATACGGCGCTCGTGGCGTGATAGGTTGCGCTGGTGTCTAGGTGGTCGGCTGCAATGACCAAATCTTTGAGTTCCCCTTGCTCACCAGCCAAGGCAGATGTCAGCTCATCGCCCAAACAGGTTTCTCGGAGGCGATTAGCCAATGTATCGGGATCACAGCTCGAAGCAACCGTGGACTCATTCCGGACTAGAGAAGAGATTTCGATGCGATGGCAAGTCGACGGCAATAGTTGGGAAATCCGCAGGCCGAGTCCAGTGCCAGCAGTCAAGTCCAAGAAGTGAGTAGGTCTGGCACTCGGCATCGCCTTCCGTATGCCATAGTTTGATGCACGTCCGCTAAGTGGTACCCACGCCGAGTTCTCTGTGCCCGATTTATCGTCTGCATCAAAAGTGAAAGTGAATGTGACGGCTGCGGGAGATCCACGGCGAGACAAAGCCGCAGCGAGGAATCTGTCCTTGTTAGAGCAGTGAACAAGCACGCTGCTTCCCGGCGACAGACGGTCGATCAGTGATGAAGCAAGGATTTCGCTAGCAGCGGTGACAAGCAATCGATTGCTTGACTCTGATGGGTTCTTCGCGTAGGTTTTGGCATCCAGGGGTGCTTCCAACGTTGCTACTGGGGCCATGGCCACTGAGTTGGTTGTGGAAAGCACAAGCAATGGACGGCCAGTGGCATCCTCTTTGGAAACGGCGAGGAAGAGATACGAGTCTGAGTGCACATTGAGCGCCAAGAGACTGGAGGAGTCTACCCAGAGAAGGTTGTCTGACCTGCGCGGGACAAGAGACGTGGGCTCTGCCAACGACGGCGGGGAAGTACCGGACGGCGGGATCAAAGTGACAGTCGGGCTACGGATTGGTACCTCTTTATAGATGGTACGTCTGGCCGAATTGAGGCGGGCATTTTGCTCGACGTTGTTGACAAGTCTTGGAAGCAGCAGAGTTCCATTCTCCAAAAAGGCCTCGGACTCCTTGGACCAAAGGATGCGCTGCTGCTCTTCTTGTCCATCAGCTCCAATGGCGGGTGTCTCCCACTCGTCAAGCGCAACCAGCTGCAACAGGTGCTTGGAAATGGCTTTGGGCACATCAGACTGCTGCAGATCAGAGACATCGAGGTGAGCAAGATTGATATGCCCAGACTCGCGACGAACGACACGGCTAAAGGTGATACTCGACATGTGATATGGCTCTTCAATCAGAGCACCCGACGTGATCCACAAGACGTGCTTAGCCAGCTCAAACATGCGCTGCAGACCTCCCATCCCTTCACTAGTAATGTCTTTGAAGATGGGCGAGTCGATATCGACCAGGTTGATAAAAGTACTTTGTGGCGCCAGATCAAGCGATTCCTCGTCGGTGGGCAGGCTATCGAGGATTGTCAGCTCGCCGCAGAAGCGCCTGAGATTATCAGCCAACTCTTCGGCCAGGCGAGCTGTTTGCAGGCTTTGATTTCCAAGAATAACCAAGCTTTCAATGTGTATCGGCGGCGAAAGGGACGAAAGCGGTTGGCGGAGGAATGTGACACGATCATCGACTGCCTGCGAGGCCATAATGGAGAATGGCCAGGCTACCGTGTCGATTTCAGGAGTCACGGCATCGACACCTGCAAACCCAGCCTTGCGCAGAGCCGAATGCCACTGGCCTGGGCTAATGGTCGGTGCCCATCTGCGTCCATCCTCAACTCCAAGCCACCAGCCGGCAAATGTGCCCCAAATGAGCCCGGTGCGGATGGGGTTGTTGTTGGTGATCTCCAGAAGCAACAAGTAGCCACCAGGCTTGAGCAACTTGCGTGTGTTCACCAGCGTTGTGTGAAGCGACTCTGTGGCGTGGAGGACGTTGGATGCAATGACAATGTCGTACGAGTGCTGTTCGTATCCTTGAGCAGATGGGGATTTCTCCACATCAAGTACCTTGAATGTCATCTTGTCGCTGTATTCCTTGAAGATCTCAGCCGCTTTGGCGAAGAATCCTACCGAGATATCAGTGTAGGTATATGAAGCCATCTTGTCGCCCATGGCCTTGAGCACGTATTTCGTAGCTCCACCGGTACCGGCACCTGCAAGTAGAAGAAGTTAGTTACATGAAGCTTTATTAACACCGAAACACATAGATGGGGTATACTTACCAATTTCGAGAATCTTGGTGTGAGGGTAACGATGGGTGATCTGCTTCATCATTGACGCCAAGAACTGGTTGTATCTCTGGAATCCAGAGCCCAGCTTATAAAAGTCATCCAACATGTTGTCTTGTAAAAGGTGCTCCAAAATGGTCGTCTCATTACGGACTGCTGGCGGAATCTTTTCTCCCACGGTGCGGATCATCTTCACATCCAGATTGTCCGGATACTGATCCATGAGAGCATTGATCTCTTCAGCGGTGTCATTGGCCCACTTCCTCTGCAGAGTTGGGTGCTGGCCCTTCTTGGCAAGATCGAGGGTACGCTTCACCCAGTCGTGCAAGTACTTGTAGTGCGGCTGTCCGTTGGCCCACTCGTCATCAGATAGCTCCGAGTCCCATTTTCGAACGTAGTAGTACGCCATCCGTTCGCAGGCATGAGCAAGCTCCTTTTCCAGTGCCGTCGGACGCACTCCTTCAGCGACTGCAGCGCCATCTGGGGCGGCGATGTCGAGCTTTGTGTGGGTAAAGAGAACCCGATCATCAGCCTGGGTGGCGGGAGCGAACGTCTTGATGCTGAGATCTTCGATCTGTACTGCTGAATACTCTCCATCCTCGCTCAGCAAATCTACATATCCCGAAAATGAAGTCGACGTGCCGTCGATAGAGGCATGCACGGGAAGTCGAGTGCCCGTTGCCGGCAGCAAAGAACAGAGGGCCGGGTTAACGCGGACACTTCGAATTCCAGTGGGAACATGTAGAGACCATAGTCGTTCGTCGCCAGGGCTTGAATACGCAAGCATAGCCGCATGGAAAGCGACATCGAGTGTGCTTGGATGGAAGAGATACGGCGAAGTGTCTTCCTCCGAATAGACGTACGTGGCCACCTGTCCGGTAGCGTAGTCAAGCCGACGCTTCATGGACGAAAACGTCTTGAATGGGCCCGAGTAGCCATATCCGAGACCCTCCAAGGTCGAGTAGAAGCGGTCGGCATCGATTGGGAATAAATTGTAGTCTTCGGCCGGGGGAGCCATCAAGGACTCCACGCTCGGGGTGCCCAGAATGATTTTCACAGTTGCAGTGGCTATGAGCTCCATCTCCTGCTCCGACCCAGAGCTGAGAACGGGAAGGGAGTAACAAGAGAAGTTAGCCGCAAGATACTGATTCTGGTGTTGCCGAATGTCCGTCAGCGTGACCAGGGTTTCAACACCAGATGTATCTCCTTCCTCAAATGTGACGGCTCTGGGAATAGCCAGATCGTTCACTTCGAACACCTTCACCTCTTTGTCAGCTGCCAGGAACTTGGATGCCTCCAATGCCATGGCGATGTAACCCGCGGCTGGGAAAACCGTCTGGCTCTGAAGTTGATGGCCCTCCATCCACGGCATCTCTGACACTTTCAGTATGTTGGACCATCGAAGATCCTGTGGGGTGGACTCGGGGAGGATTGTGCCCAAAATCTCATGCGTAGCTTGTTTGCGCCCACGAAGCCTCTTTGACCTGCGTGATTCGTTCCAATGCAGCCTTGCGTGATTCCACTGGTACGACGGCAAACCGACCACGAGCTTTGGCTGACGCTCTTCGTCGCTGACAAGCTTTGTATAACTCTGGAAGTCGACGTGCTGGCTGCCGAAGTGAGTCCATACGAATCCCAGGGCGTCTGAGAAGGCGTTGACATCGTTGGCCCCACGGCTCAAGACACCGCTGTACGGGATGGGAGATGGCCGTAGGTCTGCAATGTTTTGCGTAGCTGGACCCTTGAGGGCGGGATGAGGGCCTACCTCGAGTACGAGGCTAAGTTGCTCGTCGCTGGCGACGGCGTTCTTTACGGCATCAGCAAAGAGCACTGCGTTAGTCATATTGTCTCTCCAGTAAATGTCCTTCAAAGCATCAATGGGCTCCATTCCTTGACTGCTAGGAGTAACGCTGGAGAACCAGACACAGGAGTTGTCTTTTTGGGTCTTGTTAATCTGGATTCCACAGCTCTGCAGAGAGGAAATGTATGGGTCGCCACATGGTAGCATGTGGTGAGAGTGATAGGCAGTGTCGACCTTGAGAACCCTGGCAAACTTCTTTTCATCGTCAAACACCCTCTTCGCATGTGCGACTGCATCAGCATCACCGGAAAGTGTTACACTGGCTGCAGAGTTGTGAGCGGCGACAGCCAAACGACCCTTGAAGGCTCGTAGACTGATGAGATCCTGTGCATCTTCCCACGAAGTGCCCACTGCGATCATTGCACCGCTTTGGCCAGTAGACGCGTTCCCTGCCAGTCGTGCATGCAATCCACGATAGTAGGCAATGCGTACAGCGTCGTCGGCTGAGAAGAATCCGGCGGCATAGGCCGCAGCAATTTCACCAGATGAGTGTCCTACAACGGCTGAGAAACTAATACCAGCCGACTGCAGCAGGTCGACAAGGACGACTTGAATGGCAGTACATAAGGGCTGTGACAACGCGGCCTCACCAATGCGCGACGTATCACTGCTCGCCATGATTTCAGCCTTCAAACTCCATTGGGGTCGGTCTGAAGCCGGAAGGGCAGCCAACGACTGCTCCAATTCATCGATCCTCTTGGCCACGAAGGTAGACGACCTAATCAACTCGGCTCCCATGGATGCCCACTGGGCGCCCTGACCGGTGAAAACGCCCAGGATCTTGGGTCCCGCTGATGCCGCCTTGGAGCTCGCCTTGGTTCCAATGGCGATGTTGGGATTTTGAGCCAACGGGGCAAGCTTGGCGTCAATCTTGGACACCAATTCCTCAATGTTCAATGCCGACAAGGCCAGCTTGGTGGGGAACTGGCTCCTGCGAGACTGCAGCGTCCAGGCAAGGTCCTTGGCGTTGACCTTCTCCTGTTGTGTCCTGAGATAATCTGCCGTTGCACGCAGCTGGGCGACAAGCGAGCTCTCTGAAAAGGCCGAGAAAACGAAGGGTGTAAAGATGGCACCATCTTGGCTGCCAGATGTACCTTCACTTTGGCCTGACGGGCCCCGATACTCTTCAAGGATAGCATGGGCATTGCTTCCACCAAAACCTGCTCTTGTCAGATCAACACGATCACTCAAAGGATCTACCTCTACGATGAGTATAAAAAAGGCAGAAATGACTTACCAAAGCTGTTGACACTAGCGCGTCGCGGAACACCTGCCGGGAGTTGCGGCCATGGGATGACTTCCGTAGGGACTTGGAGTCCCTTGTAGAAAGGCTCAATATCTGGGTTAAGGCGCTGGAACAAGAGGTTGGGGGCAATCACGCCGTTCTGAATGCTCCCAGAGGCCTTCAGAAGTCCTGCAAGACCGGCTGAACCTTCAAGATGCCCTATCACCGTCTTGATGGAGCCTACATACAGAGGCGTATCGCCGGCGCTTTTATGGCGACCAAAAGACTGATAGATAGCAGCGGCCTCCTTTGGATCTCCGGCCTTAGTGCCCGTGCCGTGGGCCTCAAAGAACTGCGGGCTATCTTCAGCACAACGCTCCGGGTCCAGCCCGGCCTGGGCGTAGGTTTGCCGAATCAGTGCTGCTTGAGCTTCGGTGCTGGGTACCGTAATGCCATTAGAGTAACCGTCTTGGTTAGACCCAGTGTGCCGGATGAGACATTCAATGTGATCGCCATCTGCAATCGCATCGCTAAGGCGCTTCAAAACAATGGCCGCCATACCCTCTCCACGAGCATAACCGTCGGCGTCGGCGTCCCACATGCGCGAACGTCCGGTTGGAGAAAGCATCTTCAACTTACTTTCAATCACATACATTTCGGGATTGAGGATCACTTGTGTACCGCATGCAAGGGCGACTCGCGACTCGCCTGTGCGAAGGGCTTTTACAGCCTGGTGCACGGCGATGAGACTCGATGAACAAGCCGTGTCGATAGTCATACTGGGACCATGCCAGTCAAAGAAGTATGACACACGGTTGGAGATTATAGCACGGTTAACTCCAGTGGCAAAGTAAGTTGGGACAGTGTTCAAGTCGCGAATACCGGTATCGTTATAGTCGACGCCCATAGTGCCGGTAAACACGGCCGTGTCGGAGCCCCGGAGGCTCTCCATGGTGTGACCGCCAGCCTCAAGGGCTTCATAGACAGTCTCCAAAAGGATCCTCTGCTGTGGATCCATCGAATCCGCCTCATTGGGGCTGATGTTGAAAAAGGTAGTGTCGAAGAGGCGCAGGTCTTCTTGTAGGAGATAAGATTTCCTCACATTGGTGGCGCCGTGGTGTTTTCCATCTGGGTGATAGAATCCGGTCGTGTCGAATCGGTCTGAGGGGATATCCGTACACACATCCTTTGGGTCTTCCAGCAATTTCCAGAGAGCAGAAGGAGAATTAACGCCTCCAGGGAACCGACAAGCGCTTCCCACGATTGCGATCGGCTCCAGATTTTGGGATCCCATGGCGATGGAAGTGATAGTGAAAACGGCTGGTGTAGAATGTAACTGAGTGTGGGAAGCAAACAGGTTTGTCTGTCTATAGCAGGTTGTTTGTTGAATACAGCCTTGCCGTTCAGCAGATAATGGGACTGGATGGGGTTGATATCTTCACAACATCTTGTTGGCAACGTAGATTATTGTTTTAGTCTTTTCTAAGACTGGTCAGTGCCTGACAGTTAGAGAGCCTTCTTTTCGGTTGCTATCATGGTCCTTCGCCTAGTCGCCGACAATATTTCATTCATGTCAGCCGATATCCCCGATTGCCCGGCCCCGAAGTTTATATGTATCAGTGGAGTATTGTGCGTATTCATTCCGAGTTCAGGTAGATATTCGGCGGTCAGATCTTCAAAATCCTCTAGGTGGTCTAGTTTGCTTCACGGCGTTCGGCTGTAATGGATTACATGTCACCGAAAAGTTGGCGGGTCTATTCCGTCTCCGGCGAGCAATTCTCCTCGGAGAAAAACTATATTCTTAATAACTTTCAGCTTGTCTCATCAATTCGTTGTTGTGATCAAACGAAAAGCAATCAATGAACAAGAGAACAAACGAATAGACAAGCAAACAAACAAACACATAAACGATATTCGGCGGTTAATGACGTGAGCCTGACCCTTGAAGCGGCTGCATGTCTCCCCCACCCACGTTCTTCATGGCTGTCAGCCTCAGCAAAGTGGATTAGCCTCTTCTAAGCATGTCCCAACCTACATTGAAAGCCATGGAGACATTCTGGCTACTTGCTATGTAAAGAAACCCCAATGGCTACGGCGTATCCATGGTTTCTGAGACAAAAGTCTCGAGCTGTTATTGGTAGTCGTTTAATGAAACAATATCACGTAGCAAGCATCTTCAACTCTGCTGTAACATGTACTGCATTCCGGAAGGCGCCCACATATATAGAATAAAAGAAACAAATAGAGAATTCAACAATCGCAAGGAGGATGTATACGGTTCACTGGATAAATCAGACTTGCTCAGAGATTCACGCGGACATCTTAGATCTTTTCGATTTATACACTAGTAACACAGGAAAAGAAAAAGTAAATTGAAGGAAAAATTGGAATCATAACTAACTAGGTTTTTGGGTAGTGGAGCCGGTGGCGTACTATGAGTCCTCCATTCGCCCATCAGACCCTATATCACTACATTACTTTAATATATCGCCCAATCACCACCTATTAACATACTGTTTTCATTCACATGCAATCTCTCAACCTCCAGTGCCTTAACCTCTTTCCCTTTCCAAGCCCCATCATCACCAGTTGCGTGCAATGTCTCGCAAGAGTCGATCGTGACCATGTGAAGAGAAGACCAGGCAACTTAAGCCATGGCAACTGCCTCTCCAGGCTTCAAATTAATCTTCTTCCATGGAACGATGAAGCTTACCAGAAAAGCCGTGCCAACCAGTCCGACTGAAACAGCAAAGGCGGCCTTGAGACCATCCATATATGACAGGATAACACCTGGCAGCTCATCCGCCGAGAAAACTGAGCGAAGGTCGGAGGCACCTGTTGCGAGAACCAGTAGTGGAGAAACTCCTGGTGCGTTGGTTGTCAAAGAGTGAAGCAGCCTGTTGTTGAAAGCTGCTTGGGCCGCCGAGATGCTGAATGCACCTCCAAGAATCTGGAAAACTATGGGTACTCGTTAGCTATAACTCGGACTCTTATCTTTCCAAGTACATACAGTATAGACTCGACGTAGCAGGCGACATGTCGTCAGCGTCAACCTCGGCTTGGAGAATATTCAGGGCATTCTGGAATGGAAATGCAAGACCAGCACCAACGAGGACTTGATAGCCGATCCATTTCCCACTGGACGTGTCGACATCGAGCGTGTAGAGCAATCCAGTAGCCACTGCTGCCACTGCTGCGCCAGCAGTCATGTAGGGGGTCGCCATGTGCGTCTTCTCGACGGCGGCTCCTCCAAGGATGATGAACAAACAAGCGGAAAGGACCAAAGGCAGGTTGTCAACACCAGAATGAATAGCACTAACACCTTTGATGCTCTGGAAGTAAATGGGAAGATAGAACAAGAGCAAAAAGTAGCAGCCGACAAAAAAGAACTGGAATATACCACCAGCCCACATCACACGGCGCTTGAATAGTCTGTAGGGCAGCATGGCGTAATCGCCTTGGAAGTATTCCCAGGCAGCAAGCGTGACCATTATGAGAACGAATCCGACAAGCAGCCCGATGACCACACTGCTGTTCCAGGCATGGCTGACGCCAGCGTACTGGAGTGCAAGGATGAAGCTGATAATACCGCCCATGGCCAGCACGGTGCCGACCGGATCCATGTGCAAGAGCTTCTCCTTCAGCGTTGCATCTTGGGTAGTGGAGACGCTCGGAGTTCTGAAGAAGAGGAAAAACAAAGCCATGGCGAGACCACCAATGGGCAAGTTAATGTAGAAGCACCATCTCCATGTTACTTTCTCCGAGAAGGCTCCGCCAATAAGAGGGCCGAGGATGAATGCAATGCAATAGGTGACTCCCATAGTGCTCATCAATGTCGGTCGTTTGGCGGGCTCAGCGCTGAACGCCAAGATGACGGTAGAGCCTGAGGTGATACCGGCACCCCCAATACCTGCAATCGCTCGGCCGACGATGAAGGTGTTGGAGTTTCGAGCCACTCCACAAATGAGACTTCCTAGTTCAAAGACGAAGACTGCTATCGCAAAGGAGATCTTCAAAGGGAAGTATTTGTAGACTTTGCCCCAGGTGGACTGGAAACCGCCGAGGCACATAAAGTACGCTGATCCGTACCATGATACTTGACTGAGACCATGGAACTCATCCGTGATTTTGGGGATCGCTGTACCGAGAATAGTCTGCCAGTCTATTAGCAACTACGACATCATTCTTTTCGACTTGTGGCTCTTACCTGGTCCAGGGAGGCTAAGAACATGGCCAGATTGATAGCCAAGACAAGAGTTATCAGGCGTACCCCATGCGGGTATTCATCCGCAGTCGGCTCATTGTTGGAAACTGCAGCCACATCTGAGGTCCCGACAAGCTTCTCGGGTTGTTCTGGAGCAAGAGAGCTATCCTCCTGGGACGCTGTTGTCGACGTATCAACATTCTCAGATTTCCTCGTGGCACTGTAGTCTCCGCTCATCTTGGCTTTTTTCCAAAGATGCTTTGTTAATAAATATAACGATCCCTTCTGGCGAATAGCTCAAACTCCCCAGGGTGTAGGGTGAAAGCCTCGAGCACTGGCACGACAAAAGCTCTGTAATTTGTAAAAAGAAGCAGTGCAAAAACCAACTACCGGGACTAACGGTAAACGGAGCGGCACTCCTAGACATGAATATCAGAGATGCGAAAGCTGCATTTAAACAGAATGCATCTGTGAACTGTTCAACAGCCCACTTTGCATTGGTCCGATAAGATATCAGGACGTTGTTGATTCCTTCGACTAATACGGCATGCGGTTGGGCGCCAGGTACGGAGGAACGATTCGGCCGACCGCTAGCTGGTCTTCCTCACAATATCACTTCGGGTATTTTGCTGACGAAGATGGACAGGGGTAATGAACGCCACAGAGTCGTATTGGCGTAGGTAGGTGCATGCATGTCGGGTTAATAGCTACCTGGATACTCATGAAATACGCGTGGCATCAATGATAACAGAAATATTCGCCTGCGTTTTGCAACCGGGAGCGGAGCAGAGTTTTCAACATCTTAGCAGGGCTTAGAGGACTTATGATCTATGTAGACAATGTACCATATTGACAGCGGGACCTGCGTGCCTAGGTATATGATTGGCTAGATATTACACGTGCTGAAAGACGCTTGGGATACCATCTATTGTATTCAGCATTGTGCAGACAATGATGAATCCAGCTTGAACAGCCCGCGCATTCTCCTTGGTAACGCAAGCGTTTAAGTCACCTTCTTAATCTTCCGCTGCTGCTGGCTCCAAGTCTACCGCATCACAAACCAACAATCACGACGTACTCCGAGCATTAAATTTAGTCATATGTACAAATAATCTCAATATAAGACCGCTGAGGGCACGAACAGTTAAGTGTATATCCTATATCTTGAGAACCCATGGCCCAGATAGAATGATACATCCCAACAGAGCCTAGTGATCGCATGATAATGAGACTGGCGCAGGGGCCATAAATTGTCCTAGGTAGTAAACTAACAAAACATCAAATAACTTCTACTAAGAACATGTACAATTTGTTTCCCCCGTCACTTTCGTTAATTAAAAAGTACCAATATCGGCACATCTTTAGAGCTCTCCAACTTGAGCAAGGCCCTCTTTGTGGATAGACATTTGGTGACGGAATCGCTTCACTAGCAATTGTCCGACGGTCTCCTTGTTGGGATCCTCTGGATTCAGTGGGTTGGTTGCGAACACGTCACCGTGCCAAAAGGTCGCACACGAGAGTCTTTCGCCCTCTGTTTTGTTGATGACCCTGTGCCTCACACTCTTGTAACGACCACCGCTCCACTTCATGATCATGTCGCCACAGTTAATGACGTACACATCCTCGATGGCGGGAACGGAAAGCCACTTTTGCTGCTTTTCCAGCCAAACTTCGAGGCCGTCCTTTCCTGCTTGCTGTAAAAGAACGGTAACGCCTCCAAAGTCGTTGTGTGCGCCCACACCAAACTGGCCCGGTAGGGTTACGCTGGGAGATGGATAACGGATCAACTTCATCTGCACAAGTGGCCTCTTGGCAAATGCTTCCATCAAGTCCGTACTATAACCCAGACCCTGGAGTAAGACTTCCCAAATAGTCTTACCTAGTTGGCTAGTCTTTTGGTAATATTCCCACACTGGGCCACGAAAATCCTCTTCAGGAAGATTCGGCCAGACGTTGGGCCCATAAAAGCCGGAGAACTCCACAACGGGATCTTCTCGACCAAGGTAGTAGGCCTTCATACATAATGTTGGTAGTCAGCTGAATGTACAAGTAGCAGCATGTGACATGAAGAAGGTCTAATATTCTCAGACCCACAGGGAACACGCACCTCTTTCGAATCCGGCATTGCGTCTCCCTCTCGCATTGACATGCCTGATGCTTCATATCCTCGACGGCACGGATTTTCCAGATAGGAGAGCTTCATTTTCTCTTCCTTGGGCATGCTAAAAAGTGTGCCGAGACTTTTCAGCAGCTCCTTCTGCAGGCTTATTGGTATACCATGGCCTTTAAGCTGGAAAAAGCCAAAGTCCCGGCAGGCATCCCGGATTTGCTCAATTACATTCTGCCGATCATCAGGCGACTTTGGCGACAGATAGCCGCTAAGGTCAATGATGGGCAACGAGATATCTTCTTCCGACATGATAGTTGTAGATCTAACAAGGCGGGCCTCTGATGGAAACAGTTATAAGGGGAAATGTGAGATGTGACAGTCGGTGGGTGTAGAAGAAGAGAAAAAGACCGATAACAGAGCAAAAAGTCAAATCCTGATACTGAACCACGATATATATGATGTTCTACCCTTACCTTTGATGGTCTGAGGTCAACAGCATACTCAACAATTCGCTATACATGTCTCGTACGACTGATCGTCTCATCACCTACGAAGTACAGAGGTATTCGAGGTACACCCGATACAGTACGCAGCCTCATTGTGTATTAGGAGCGGCGACTATGCTCACCCGCCATGCTCTTTCGGCAACAAACTACGTCATAATACACCGGGTGTCTAGGGTCCAGGGTCCGAAAGTGATTACTAGGTCCCCCACTATCCATCAAGAACGAGGCTTACGCGCGGGGAGATCCGATGTAACTCAATCTGGTTTTGATCTCTGCTAGTGAACACTGAGAAAACGAAGGTGGTTGTCAAATCGCGTTTCAATTCTTGCACTGATTTGTAATTAATGTAGGTTTATCTTAATCACTAAAATGACTTTTATTTTGGAAATCGCTTTTTGAAGATGTACATCTCTTTGCTACTTGAAAGATTGCCCAGTTACTTTGTAGGATATGGTAGATAGCTAGAGATCCTGTGGTGGGTTCAGCACAGAGCTGCAAGGTTGCTTACGGTGAAACATCGTCCGATTACAAGTAACCGCCATCGACATGGTCATTATGCAGCTCTACGTAGAGACAACCGGTAAATCCGTACAACTTTCACTCTTTTAGGCGAGCAATAGTAACAAAGTTGAAGGTTAACACACTTACCCGAGATTTTGGCAGCAATTAGTCGCCGTATCTGTGAAGCTGACAAGGCAGGTTGCATGCATCTTTTCGACTTTAAACCAATCAAAGTATAAGAAAATTCCCAACATATTATCCGTTTACTACAATACGAATTACAGAAACTGTTGAAAATCTAACCAGTACTTATATATACCTTTTACCCGGCAGCACTCTATTCGGAATAGCGAATTTGAGCACCAGTCAAGTTGAAAGCTAAGTAGTGATAAGTACCCCATTGCTGACGTTGACAACAATCCTACCTTACCACCCCCTACCATTCCGAGGAACGGCGTACCAACAGCTAGTTCTATCTAAAGCGATCACCAAAGACCTTGTAGCAATTAACTATATTATCTGTTACCATGACAGCACCCGTATTATCCGAACTGCAAAAGCAATTTGCATTATTGGTTGTCTACCACTGTTACAACTTACAGGTGTGGGATGATGTGGTGGCATCATGTTAATATTCACTGGACCAGTCAGCTTGTTAGCGTTCGGCGGTTGCCAAAATAGGAATCGCCAGCTGCCGGCGACTTCATATTATTTAAATATTATATATCATATGTTTGCCTTCAGTTCCTGTGCCATTATTATTTAAGGCAATCCCCGAAACTCTTTTGTATTGGCGTACATTTCTTCTGTACTCAAAAATATTCCTTATCCAAACACCTACAATGCACGTTCTTATTGCAGGAGCCGGGCTAGGTGGGCTCACGCTTGCCCAGAACCTCCGGAAACGGGGCATTTCCTATGAGATATTCGAGCGCGATGAGCATAAAGATGCACGATTCCAGGGATGGGCCATTGCTTTGCACACGTAAGCATCCAAAAACTCCAAGTTGAAGCATTAAAGGCGATGTATGGCTTATCACCGGTATTAGCATCACAGATGAACTTGTGGCATCTATGCCATCTGATATGCCCGATTTGAGACAAGCCACCGACCACATGTCTCCTCTAAAAATCCCTACCCAGATCTGCCTATACCCCGCTGAAAGCAATGTTCGAGTGGGGTGGGAGGTAGTTATCCACCTTAGGGACCATGATAATCACAGCCCGAGATACTGATAACATGCCTTTTGCAGGATTGTCCAGAAACGCCCTTTATACGCGCGGAGCGCTACCGGCTAAGGAACCACTTGGCTACCAATATTCCAATTCAGTGGGGAAAGCGTGTCCAGCGCATTGAACATGATGACCAAGGTGTCGCTGTATATTTTGAGGACGGAACTAGTGCCAAAGGAGACATTCTTGTCGGTGCTGATGGTGTGAAAAGTGTTGGTATGTTAACAATTCTGATACTTGTCTCAACATTCTCAATTGCTAAGATAAGAAACGCCACAGTTCGACAGCAGCTTCTGCAAAAGTCTCACGATGAGGTTCTGAAAATTATCCCACTGGCCGCCATCGTGGGCGAGCTGAAGCTCTCTGGAGAGGCCTTCAAGCGCCAACTCCAGCTCAGCCATGGAAGCTATTCGCTCATTGACTCCGAGAAGGGTTATCTGACTTTCTGCTCGCTGCATGACGTCGCGCCTGACGGAAAGTCGGCGCGGTACTACTGGATCATGTCTCGATCAGACCCCACCATTGCCGATCCAGACCACTGGCTGCACAAAGCCACCCAACAAGAGAAGTTGGACCACGCCCGCGAGGTCATGAGCAATCGGGAACCCAAGTTTCGCGAGATATTTGACCTAACCCCTGTTGAGGGCGTCAAGAAGGAGACTCATATCTGGCGCGACCTCGAGCTTTCTAGTCTGCCAGCTGGCCGGGTCGTTTTAATGGGCGATGCGGCACACGTCATGACGCCCTTCCGTGGCGAGGGAGGCTATAACACATTCATCGATGCCATGGCCCTTGCCAAGATCCTAGACCGAGTTGACAAAGAAGACAAGACTCATGACATCGAATCAATCAAGGCTTCTGTTAACGAGTACAATGCCGAGATGTTGGAGCGCGGGGTGAAATCCGTGCAGCTCTCTCGAGAGTGGGTTGACGGGTCGAAGGTTAATTCCAAGAAGCCGTTGCTTGCACCTATGAAAGTCATCCCATTCTCGGAAGTTCCTCTGGAGGTCGCGGCTTGATGGACCCAATTTTGGGTAGAGAAACGCGGAGAATTCTCTATTAGTGCAATCTGACAGTTATGAATTACGGATAATAGTTTCAAAAGCCAAAAAAAGGGAGAAAAAGGAGAGAGAAAGACAAATGTGGCTTTAAGTCCTTGCTGTGGACTATTTGGGATTATGTTGTAACTGCTCCTTCTTTGGCGTCTATCAAAGATTATCTTTAATCTTATACTCTTGGATCTTACTCTGTATTGACTTTCTCGATGGATTGGAAGTCTTTGGTTTCTCACTGTGATGCCGCTGAAGAAAGTGTGCCTTAGGGTTCTAGATCTGTATTCTGGGCGTGGATTTCTGTTCTGATCATTTGGCTTAGCTGCAAGAAATTGGATGTATGACATTTCAGGTTGAATGAGCAAATATCACACCGTGATCATCGTAGCCCAGAAGACTTCTCGTTGAGTGTAGAATATTGCCCTAGGCCCATAACTTTTCTTTCCCTTCAAGCCACTTTTATCGCCCCTGTTGTCAATAAGGATCTAGAGAGAAGGGCGTCAGTCATTCTCTCGCTATTTACTTACAATTCTAAATCCAAAACTAAAATGAAGTTTTTCGTTCTTTACATTAATAATTTAATCATGGACACGATTTAGTTACCGAGACCACCTAGCCTTTATTCAGAGCCGCACCCTTCGAAATAATTGAAAAGCTTAACAATCGCTATCGTTCACTTGGATTGCAACAGTGGGACGGCAAGGCGGATTTTGAATTAAAGTGTGAGTGTTCTCCCGGCATCGATGTTGTTGGAGCTACTTTGGACTAGGACCAAGACGAGAAATACTCCGATTGGATTGTCGTTCCAGTGATCTACAGATAGCGTATAACTTCTAGACAACGGTTTGACGTAAGGAACATGCCGTTTAACAAAGACCCTTTTGTTTCCGCTTCGTGCGGAGAGTTGGTTGAAAGTGAGAGGCCTGAGGTCGACGTTTCTAGCCAAGGGGGTTAATGTGGCTCGATTCTTCATATTTTAAACATGTCACGGAGCAACATATTCGAGACTGTTTTCATCTCTAAACGGCGCATATGAGTTTCAAATTTCGCGTTCTAGCGCTGCCGAAACTCCACCAAGATGCCTACGGCTGGAGTAGTGTAAGATCGTGAAGACAAGCGTACGCTTAACTAAACTACCTTCGTTCACTATGACCATCACGATCTCGTTGACCTTGACCTATCCAGTCAGTCTGTCGTCTGCATCTTGTAAATCACTTCTCATATGCAAGGGAAAGTGGGGAGGGCATCAGTAACAGTTGGAGAATCTTATTGTGTATGGTCCAGAGCCTTTCTATTGTTCCTTCTTTCAGATGCTACAGTATCTCAATGGCTTGACAGCACTGGGTTGTTACTTGATGTGGCCAACAGATTTGAATGAAGGGCTAACCGGAAAGTGTAGCTTATTTAAAGATTGGGCCATCAAACCTAAGTCTTTCTAAGGTTTGCAGATTTGCCCCGAGCCCGGACCAGCAAGCGAGATGGCTTTGAGTCAACAGGTATCAGTGACATCCTGTCACCGGCCTGGGCGCTTACGGTACCTGTGGGACTAATATTGCTGTGAGATAGCAAAGTTTGAGAGACGCAAAGGATTCACAATTTGCATAAATATACAGGGAGAGTGTTATCTCTCAATTGGTATACAATGGGCGGAGATTTTGGCAAACTGGGATGAGGTGCGCAAGGTGGGCGGCTTCTCTCACTTTACTTGCGATTATGCGATATAATGGGCTCAGAGCATTGAACAGCTATGGCATGCCACAGTGCATTTTCTCGAACATGCCAAGAATTAAACCGGACCTCTTCAACGGATTTACTGCTCGTCTGCTCAATTTTTTCACTCTCGGATATTTATACCCAACACTCTGCATAAAGGTCCGTATCATGCGGACCAAAGCCATTTCGAACGTCATATATCACCGAAATGTATAAGACACTCACTACTGGTTATATCGGTGCTTACATTATAACCTACTACTACCGAAAACACCCTGGCCTTAACACTAGCAGGAATGCCAGCTCTCCCAGGCAGACTAACATCCTGTCGCAGCCAATTGGCCAACCTACGACGTTCAAACCAACTTACGACCTTAGTTCGGTGAATACACACTGCTGCCGCCTTGTATAACACCGGTCCCTGCCGCCGGCGCTGACTCCACCTACGGCGATGGATCCGCTTACCGGGCACTTGAAGAGTGTTCGGGCGCAAGCTTAATCGACGAATTCGCATGTCAGTGTCGGACTCTGAGTTCGAGTATATTACTTGAGGTAGGAGGCATGTAATAAACTGTATCAATCACAGCCTTAGGACCCTCAATCCCGTGAGCTACACCACCATGTCGTCCGCTACTACGATGGGGCAGTTGCCCCAACACCAAACGGCCATTGTAGCTCAAGGACCAGGCCAAATGACTATCCAGAAAGATGCACCAGTACCCGCACTGGCTCATGACATGGTTCTAGTGAAGACAGCAACAGTGGCCATTAACCCAGTTGATGTCAAGTCGCTGGACTACAGCCCGGCACCCGGAGCCATCATAGGCTTCGACTTCGCCGGTACCATTGTAGCACTAGGTTCAGATGCAGTCAAGGAGGGTCGTCTAGTCGTGGGTGATCGCGTGGCCGGGGTCGTCTACGGCATGGACAGGCTGCAGCCAGACGTTGGGGCCTTTGCTCAGTATGTCGGTGCGCTGGCGGATTTGGTCCTCAAGCTTCCCGACCACATTAGCTTGGAAGACGCCGCGGCTCTAGGACTAGCGACGGCAACGGCAGCATATGGCTTGTTCAAAGAGATGGAGCTCCCAGGAGCCCTCGACAGACTCAGCGGCCCCGTCTCTGGCCGCGGAGACTTTGTCCTTGTTGCAGGTGGTAGCACTGCTACAGGTACGCGCGCCATTGAGCTACTGAAGACGTAAGTTTATTTTCACATTTATATATATATTCTCTCTTCAATTCATTGATCATTACCGACTTTCTACAATCTCGCTTCGAGAAGAACATATTAGGAGGGGTGGTTTGCTGATGAAAGATACTTGACAGCGCCGGTTTCCGCCCAGTCGCCACATCTTCTCCATCAAACTTTGAGCTCGTCAAGAAGTTTGGGGCTGAAGCGGTTTTTGACTACCATGACCCAGGCTGTGCAGACGCCATTAAAGCCTACACCAACAACGAACTGGATTATGCGCTGGACTGCATCGCCGAGGCGGAAACGACACAGCTGTGTTACGCAGCAATTGGTCGTGCTGGTGGCCGATATGTTGCTGTGGAGCCGTTTCGTGAGTCGATTGCCCAGAGCCGGATCAACACTGTGAAGGCATCGTGGTTCAATGTCATGACCGTCTGGGGTCGCAAAGTCGAGCTTGGTGGCGAGTACGCCCGTGAAGCCTCTCTCGAGGATCGGGAGTTCGGCGCTCGTTCTTTCGCGGCTGTACAGGCATTGCTCGACCGTGGCTCTGTGACAACTCATCCCGTCAAGCTCATGTCTGGTGGCTGGGAAGGTGTTGTTGAGGGTGTAGCCAAGATACGCAGCCAGCCGCCATCTGGCTACAAATTGGTTTGTCAGGTCGCCTGATACTAATCACGGTAAGGTTTTCGCGGTTTTCGGATTGTTTACAGATTGGTACCGATAGATTAACATCTGTTGCAAGTACAATGGGCTTTTTCAGCGGATTTTCATTCCTCATATATTGGATTACACGTGAGGGCATATGCTTATGAGATATTGGTACCAAGAAGTGCGTATGTATGTATATAATGTATGTATGTATGCAAATTAAGCTAAATGGTTATGCTGTTTTGGTCACGATCTCTAATCACAAGTCCCTTGGCGCCCTTGTTTCTAGTACCAACCAATCTACCAACCTCAATCGCCCTGCATCGACTTGTCGCCAACTGTCACGCTCAGGGTGCGACGCAGCTACACATGTCATGTTAGCACACTCCCTTGATTATGGTCGTTGCGATTAATGTCTTGGTACTCCGTACATCCATGTATATATTTTGCTCCAATGCCTAGGCGATTTAGTGTGATCGTTATATCCGCCGCCCCTCTACGATCAGCCGTCGATATACTTCGACAACTATTAACGGGCAAAAGCAACGGAGAATTAGAATGGAATCTTTTCCAGTGTCACGCTGGCGCGGCTATTACCCATGCTTGCCACGCACTTACGCAAGCAACGCGTTCTTGTGAAAACTCCGCTGTAGATAATTATGATTCATACCAAGTAAACCCTCAAAATCAGGCTTTGCGGAGCGGACCGTCTTAGTGTCGTTGGAGATCCCTTGCATGCTAAAATCGATTGTTTTAGCAGCATCGGGCGCCAAATACCACCTTTGAAATTGGTGGCTGAATATTCGGCAGCCAATTGATCCCGACCGAAGCCGAAAGGAGATCAGACACGCAAGCAGCAGTGCGCCACAGATCCACCACCGGAGCTGCATAGAGATTGTGACCCTGTCTGTCTGTCACGTTGGTGATTTATTAATGAAGGCTCTGCTGCACTTGACAGCTGAAGAAACTCAACCAAGATCACTGGAAACTCATTCACATTGCTTCACTGCCTTAAACCATTTCGTGTTTGGTACTCGTTCTACGGACCAACTTATCCCTCGACATTTTTATCATTACATACCTTGTACTACGAGCGAGATGTCAGCCCCAAAGACAATCGCTTTTTTTGGCGCCACAATTGGCTGCGGACTTGCAACATTGAGCAACGCCCTTGATGCTGATACCCGTTGTATTGCCCTCTGCCGCACACCGAGCAAGCTCGAAGGGCTCTTTTCAGACGACAAAACATCCCGTCTGACAATAATCGAAGGGAATGTGCATGACGTCGATGCGGTCAAAAAATGCCTCACAGTCGATGGCACTCACCTAGTCGACACAATTATCTTTTCCATCGGTAGCCGATCGATGAACTACAAGCTTGAGCTAGATGATCCAAGCATTTGCAGAAGGGCTATTGCTACGGTGTTGGAGGCCCTGAACCAGCTACGACGACAAGGCCTAACCGGCCGCCCCAGACTGATCGCCCTTAGCACTACGGGAATCTCTCAGTTTGGGTCTGATACCCCTTACATTGTGGGGCTCCTGTATTATTATCTTCTTTATTCACCCCATGAAGATAAAAAGGCGATGGAGCAGCTTATTACAGGAAGTGACGAGGACTTTACCATTGTGCGGTCGTCCTGGATGTTGGACGGCGCGACAAACAAGGCGATCCGAGTCGGCGTGGAAGACCCTAAGCATGGTCGTGAATCCGACGCGATTGGCTATTCAATCACGCGAGAAGATGTTGGAAAGTGGATCTTTGAGAACCTCGTCCAAAATGACAACGGCGTGTATGTAAGGAAGATTGCTACGATAACACACTAGATGTCGGAGGCATAGGAGCGTCCTCGCAATCCAAATGCGAGGTTTGAACTACGCTTTGATGAAAGGAGCAGAATTTCTTTTTTTGATGATTATTCAAGTAGAGATAGATATAGTTTTCAATATTACTTACCAACATTATGAATACCGAGACGCCAAGGGACTCCCTCAGGTACTGTTAGCCCAGGCTCAAGGCATGGGAGCTTCCATGTTCTTATAAGAGAAATAAATCTACCTCTGATTATTCCCAACTCATTCAAAATATCGGCGAGGCCGGCAATATCTCCAACGTGTCTAATGACAGTCTTGGAGGATCCGTCACAATGTGGTGTGGCATTAGAGGCATGGCTTGTTTGGTTAAAACACTTGGCAAAAGCAGCTGGCTCCTCGGGGTCACCGGCTTTAGTGTCAGTGCCGTGCTAAAACGAACTAGATGTAGTCATAGATATTGTTCTCAGGGTCTAGACCTCCATTCTTGTACGTCCTTTGGACAGAAGCAGCCTGGGCCTTGGTGCTGGGGACGGTGATGCCGTCGGAGTAGCCATTCTGGTTAGCACCAGTGTCTCAAACCAGGCATTCGATATGATCACCATCAAGAATGGCAACACTAAGCTTCTTCAGGATAATAGAAGCTACGCCTTCTCTACAGGTATGTCCATCTGGACCTGCATCTGCATCTTGCATATGCAAGGAGCCCATAGGGGAAATTTTTCAACAATGAAAACTTCAGTTCCAGGGATTACTTACATACCGCAAACTACAACAACCCAAGACTCACCGCTTCACAGTATCTATACGCCTTGGTAAACATGTAGCACTAATGGTGCGACTGTAAACGGCGATTTCTAATCTATGTAGGGCCTTGATACCTAGTAGTATAGTCACCAATTTCTAAAACCATATATCAGACTGTTGACGCGACTTGAATACCATATACAAGGCCTCCAAAAGCAGATGATTCTATTGAATAATCTGACTTTATGAAAACTAATGCTCAAAAGATTCGACAGCGTCAAAGGCAAGGAGATCTTCCTGTATCAGGTATAAAGACCCGACATTGGTAGTATCGTAGTGGATACTATTGGGTAGTGGCATCCCGCAGTGTTAAACCGATCAGGAGAAATCTCCTGATAGCCCACCATTACGCAAGTTTTTAAGGGGCTTCTATGAGGCAGGAGGTGAACTAGAGCCTCCAGGGAAGCGGCAGACGCTGCCGATGATGGCAATAGGTTCAGCCTATTGGGAAGCCATTTTTGCTTACAGTAATTTCAAACGTGGCCTTTAACCAGTTGAGGGAAAAGATCCTCATTATGAAGCTAGGGGAGTTTTGTAATTTTCTTCGGTTGAAGGGGATGGAAGAGTAATGTAGCGGTGTAAGAACTGTTGGGGTGGACGTGTTTGTTCGAAGTGTTGGATTCCTCATTGTTGCTTGCCCAAGTACCTCAGCTTGCACGAGGCATTCAAAGGTGATTGAATCATCAAGTCTTCTTCTGAGATATCTTGAACCAGCCTCTGGTATTCTTGGTGTCACAAGAGCAGAGTTGTATCTGTAACTGATGGATGGGCATGATAATCTGTTTACCTTGGCATTAGACGTAATCCTGATGCCATTCAAGGCTGATCGTCTTTTTTTCCCCTTGTGATGGCCGGAGATATCAAAATTTGCTCTCTCAGCCACCCCTGAATACTCAAGGCTTGTTGTTGCCTAACCACTGCCATTGGGCATACATCCGTTTGGTCCGATTGGCCAGCAGTAGAGAGTAAAAACTTGATTGGATTCAGTTTCATGACAGGCTAAGGAGTTACATACTATGGTCATGAAATCAGCGGTAGAACTGGATAGTTGGTACGCAGAATGCAGGGCAGGCAGAAGTATACGAGACAAGTGATGCTGAGGGCATGGGGTAGAGGAATGCCAAGACGGCATGGATACAACGGCAACAACAACATAAATTGCAGACTTAACGAGAAATTTCACGGCTTTTTTATATGATGTCGTCGTAAATCCTGCTGCTCTTGATGCTATTGCAATTTTTGTCATAAGTATGGTTTAATTATCGGTGAATTGATTCAAAGGCAAGCTGCTGTTGAGACTATCCATCATCCGTTGAAGTCACGAAGGTTTTTGGTGCTAGGTAGCCAATGACTAAACATACGCCGAATGACTCGAGTGCCTTCTAGCGCAGCCAAATGTACCTTGATACACAAGGATATAAGCTGTCTGAGGGAATGTAGCCGTTAGCGTCAGCGGGCTTACAGCTTGCTATGGAACCTTGTCTGAAGGAAATCGCCCCTCAGTGTACAGGGCTACTCAATCAACGGCATCCAGGAATCAACAAGGGTGCTTGCGAGGGGTTAGAATAATAATTCCTATCTAAGTTACAAATCAAACTAAAATTATTTATATATGTAAAAGATTTTTTTTAAAACATTAAAACTTTTAGTAGAATGATACCAAGAAAGATGATTTAGTGTGGGGATATTGTGAGTAAGGGAGCAAAACCACCACCTTCAAAGACATCTCGCCCATGTGCATGCATACGCACAAGCTGCCAGTGTCAAGGGGAGGGGCATGATCATCCACGGGTTTACTCCGCACATTGCGGAGTACACCGGATGTCATACGATGACACGGCAGGCTGAAGACAAGGCCATGCTTCGTAGCCAATGAGATGCCCCGTCGAATTCATGAGGGACTTGATATGCGCACCCATTTCTTCTGCCAGGGGGGCGTGTGCATCTCGTACGAATAAAAGCCGCTTTGTACAGGGGACTAACACTAGTTGTCTGGGGTGCCCGACTGATTGGATTGCGTGAGTTTGCAATACGATACTAGGTACGCTGACAATGTACAAGCGGATCGCCGCCAGGAAGGCAACCCAAACGCCTGGTCCTCCGCAAGAATACAAAGTACATGCACATGTCATGGCCCAGCAGCGATCAGTTCTCCAGATATCGCCTTTTTTTTCTTGGTGAGTCACTCTCAGTGTTTTCGAGCACCACAGAAGATTTGCGTGAGGGCACGTAAGAGGCTAGATTCAATGGAAAAGCAACAAGTTTGTATATGTAGATTTCCTTTCTTTTTTTCTCACATGCCTTCGTGTTCTTGTTCTTGCCCCCCTCTCTCTCACACATTCACCCAACAAGGCTGCACAAGTCTTTGACAACACTGTGATCCAAGCGTTATGTCTCCCTTCCTGTTTCATTTCTTTCGGTATCATAAAAAGTCGAGAGCGTGAGACTGACAGCTTACAGGGTGTCTCGGCACGGTAGTGGCTCCGTGATTACTATACTAGGTACGCAGAAGGAGTGGTACAGGTCTAGACGTACAAAATGCATGTGCTTGGGTTCAAAGCTATCATAATGATTGATACAAGGCTGGACTAAACATCAGCTGGGGATGTTATCCAGAACCTAGATATGGGTATGGGGGTCGGTTCCACATAATCAGCAATGAAATTAAGATCACTCTCGTTCTATCTACTATCGACATTGACATCAAGGCAAAGGGACAATGCTGGTTTTCGTCTTCTTTATTTTGACATTCGATTGAAAAGGAATTTATCCGGATGTATGATCCTTGAGATGCTTCCAGCGCGCTACTTGTAACAGTGTAGTGAAGAAGAGTCTGGTACTATAGCCCTGATGTTTCCTATGACGTCTATATATGTATATCAATAGACACAATTTAGCCACTAACTCCGCTTCGTTTCCTGGTGATAAAAGACTTGCATTGCCGCCAGCCCCAACCAATGTGAGAAAAAGGCAAAATGACAGAGGAAAATAAAAGAACGTTTAAAAGCCTCGTTAATTCAAAGAGAAATTTACGTATGTATGTGCGTATACTATATATACGGTAAAAACAATTCATGAAATTCGTAACATCATATGAGGAGCGTTTGTCGGAGACGGACAATGCGATATCGGACCTCCATCTCGAGCTCAATGACCTCTGCACTGGTAGCGTGCGTATTGGGCAATGATGCAGGTAGACTTCCCGCCTGGTGTTGGGGAGTCTCAAAAAGCTGCTGTGATGAGACCTGCGATGGCTGTTGCGGAGAAGACTGAGAAAGTGGTGATAAATAGGAGTGAACAGCTCGGCATTGGCGCTCCGTCAAATAGGAGCAGAGCTGCACAATCATGACCAGCCGGATGTCCGCGAGCCCTGCATCCGGGCGAGGTTCAGGATCGACGCCACCATTACTGTTGGGCGTCACACTCGCTCTGGAGTTATTTCGTAGATCACCATCGAGTTGTAGAGCGGTGAACACGACAACAAAGATGTTTAGGAGCAGCGTGTGGCACGCAATGACAAGATGGCGCATGACTGTGTTGGAGTATTGACCTTGGTTCGGTGTACGAGAAAAGCTAGATGGCGACGATGAGGAGGAGGATGACAAGGAGGATGACAACGCCAAGCCACTGTTGCTGTTGCATGCAGCTTGGTCCAAATACGCTGTATTGCTGTCGAGGGAGCCTGGCATGGATGTAGGAGTGGGCAGGGGGCCGGTCCCGTTAGGCCAGAAGCTCGAGTCAACTGGCAGGCACTGCATGATTTGCAATAGATGACACGAGGCGGAGAATGCGTCGAGCAAGGTATTACCAAGCGTGACAACGCCCGCATAAGGCGTGGGGGTTTGATTTTTTGAGGCTTCGGGTCGAAGAAGCAAACTGGAAGAGTCGGCAGAAACCTGGACCAACCATTGGGCAACCAGTTTGAATGTAGCGTCGTCGACGAGTAGGGATGACAAGATTTGATTTTGGCCGAATTCTCGAGACTGAATTAGAGATTCGACTGTTTCAGCGAGTGTGCAGCACGTGCGATGTAGTGGGTAGAGGCGCATGCTAAGCTGGGAGAGCTGAGCGATGCCATCATCGGGGGCTAGATGCATCTGCGGGCGCGCCGGTTGCGGTTGCTGCTGATGCTGAGGCTGCTGGTGTAGATGCTGCTCAGGAACTTTTTGCAGGTGAGCTGGCGACGCAGTTCTGGTCTCCACGTGCTTTGATCCCCAGTCTTGGATATATGGAAAGGCAGCATCGGGAAAAGCGGCCACTCCGACAGCATCACTCAGTTGGTGAATGCCGTCCATCATGGTTTGGTGCAAATCCATGGTTGACGTTGGTCTGCTGGAATCGTGATGCTGCTCGCCGTCCATATCGATTTGCATGTCGCCCCAGTTAAAGGGCTCTGCCAACCACGACCATATGGACGTGTCTGATGTGTCTGTAGAGATGGTGGTAGCTGCATCTGTGTCCATTGGGCCTGTCAAACTTGGAGGATCATCATTGCCGCTGCAATTGATGTTCCCAGGCGGTGGCGAAGAGTGCTTGCCATTGCCATTGCCATTGCCACAATCACCGTCAGCGACAACCGTCTTTGGATTTGACGGAATCGGCTCAGGCGTTGCTGGTGATGTAGAAGGTTGATTGAGGGCCGAAGACGCGGAAGAGGAAGTGGCAGAAGCAGAGGTGGCGGTGGCAGTGGCAGTGGCCGCAGCAGCAAGGTTAGAAGCTGAGGATGTGCGAGAAGGAGAGTTCGAAGACGAGTTTTCCATGTGAAGCCGGTACATGCTGGGGCGGCCCTTGGGCAAACTGAAACTGTAGACACAGCGCGCATTCTGTCTTAGACATCGATTGCATGCGCCTGTATTGCTGCCGCTGGCGCGTGTACACCGCAGCTTTTGGCCATGGCATCGATCGCATGATTGGCGTCTTGAAGCAGTCGAGGTTGATGCGGTGGTAGTGGTGGTGGTTGTAGTGGCAGCAGTAGAAGCTGCCGTGGAAGTTGAAGGAGAAGCCATCTTGGAGTAAACAGTCTGTTCAAACTGACCTTGAATGACACCGAAGGGTTGCGGGTGCAATATCGAGGCAGAGCTCTGGTAGCTTAAGTACCTAGCAGAACTACCAGCTTCGGCATCGTGTATACTTGTAGCTACAAGCATGTGTATTGCTTTGGCAAGGCAGCTCCGGTGGGTACAGATGCTTCAGGTACCTGGGTACTATAAGCAGCACACGTGCATGTACCATGGTGGGAGCGGGGGGAACGCGGCTCCATTCGATGCTTGTGCAGTAAGGGTAGATAGCAACGGATTGGATTGCATGTAAGACCGGGCTAGAAGGTAAGAAGGGGAAGAAATCGCGAGACGGCTGAGTTGCTGGCAACTGGCAATCGAGGAGGCGTTTATGTCGATAAACAGACGATGGTGACAATAGTTGCTCTCTTTTCAATTGTTCAAGTTCCTAAGTCACTGATATTTGTTGATGTAAAAAGACGTTGAAAGCTACATATAACATCTCGGAGTTAGATCTCCAGAGACGAGTTGTAATACTAAAACAAGGATGATAGCGAGTGGGTTCATCTACTGGTTCGGACGACTCTCGGCCCAACGAGGCTCCAGTTATCTGCGGCGTGGAGTGGGCAAGCCAGAGATGAGAGGGTGTGTAGTGAGATGGCGTTGCTCGGGACTTGCATGATGCTAGAGATCCAATACCCTGTACGGACATTGACTTTTTTTTTCTGTAATCTCTTCCTCTTTTGCCCTGTTTCTTTATCTACCTCTAACCCATACTTTATGTGTATATATATATATATATGTATATATCGCCCTCTCTCTCCACCTCTGCCCCTCTCTATGAGCCTCACAGAAGGGCCGAGGTGGGGAGCACGCAGAAAAGAAACTTTACTGGGAGCACCAGCAGCACCTGCTGCACCCTTGAAGATGAGCTACTGCGGGTAAAACAATGAAGCACCGATTAGTAATGCCTGAGGGTGAAAGGTTGACAGGATCCCCATGGTGTACCGCTCTCGGTTCTTTAAACTCATTTTTGCTAGGGATATAATCGCTACTGCTTATATGTACGCTACCATACCCTGCTGAAATCCCACATTTATTATGTCTGCTGCGCTCCGTTCCCTGCATACAAGGGGCCGTTGACGGTTTGCTTTAGCTGGCGCTTACTAGGTCGATAACGATGACAGGGTGCGCTCCGCGGCTGTAAAGGTAGGTAAACTTATATACATGTAGGTTGCCCTACACCTACTACCTAGTAGGTATTGCCTACAGGTGGTTAAAAGAAATACGCACCCTAGGTGCTGGACGTTTCACATAATGCAGACAATTCCGCAAGCAAAGTTGGAATACGTCAAGTTATGAGCCAATTATCTCTTTTCATAATCGATAGCGCACGGCAAAGCCTGGCTTTTTAAAATCCTTGTCGCTTTCTTGTGCCCATAACGAGGCACGTCCAATCTATGCTAATGTACGAGCATGACCTTTGCAGTACACTAGCGTATGCCGGTTTTCTGGCTGTTAGTACCCCATCAGCCAACTCAACTCTCCGTACCCCGACAATTGCATATACGAATCAGCTGTAACGAAGCTGCTGTAGGAGCACGTTCCTGGTCAGAATCCCAAAATCTTCCAGGGTCAACAACGTATCGTCTTACTTTTGTGGCTTGTCTTGTTGGTTCTGGGAGGAATATATAGCCGTATCAGCGATGCGTGGAGTACATACATGGGGTACGCAGCCATGTTCTGTATGGTGTGTAGCCGAGAACCTAGACAAGGAGCTTCTTTCGCTTTGGGGCGAGTACACGAGCCACCAAGCACCCAGTTCCTATTCCCCAAATACCTAGATAACCATTGCGTCCGCACAGAGATACCCTGCAGCTGCACCATGTTCTGCTCAACATCCAGGTTACAGTACATATACACGCATCTGCTGGGCCTCACAGGCCATCACATGGAGAAGGCGTCCAAGCGCCGTGCTACTCCAAGGATTCAGGGGAGATGATCGCCAAGGCGGATAGGCCCCTAAAGACTCCTCTTTCGCGTGGGCCACGTGGTCCCAGTCTGGTTAATGTTGGCCCGTGCGGAAAAACGCGTGCCATTTGTCAATTATCATTTGATTCCAAGCAATTGTGCTCGCTACAGAGTCGCAACGAGCGATGGATTGGCCGATGGATTGGGGATGAATACCCGCAAGTACGCTTCCATGGGTATACGGGATATTCCGAGTAGTAAGATAAGCTGTACATAGGGTGCCCCTGTAACCTGTATATATACATAGGCAGGTTTCCTTTTACGCTAAAAAAAGGAAACCTATATAATATATTATACAGCTTTCCTTCTAATACAGCCGGCCTTTTACTATTGCAGCTTACCTTTTACACTAACTTTCTCTCTTTACTAGTAACCAGCCTTATTTTTATAGTAACTTTTATACTTAGTTACTTTTTTCAACAGCTTTTTTTAACAGCCTTTACGGCAGCTTTTACAGTGTAAAAGCCTTTATAACGGCCCTTATAATAGCTTTTATAGTAGCTTTAACAGCAGTCTTTATAGTGTATAGCTATTGTAGCAGCTACTGCAGTAGCTTTTTATAGTTAATATAAGGTAGTAGTTGCTTATGTGTATAAGAGGAAAGCTGTACTAAATCGCTATAAAGGTCAGCTGCAGTAATAAAAAGCCGGCTGTAAAAGGTCGGCTGTAATAATAAAAAGCCAGCTGTAAAGGTAGCTGTAATAGTAAAAAATCAGCTGTAAAAATCAGCTGTAATGGTAAAGGGTCGGCTGTAAAGGAAAGCTGTATAATATATTATATAGCTTTCCTTTTTTTAGCGCAAAAGGAAACCTGCCTATATACATATACAGGTTATAGGGGCACCCTATGTACAGCTTAACCATATACTCGGATATTCCGGCTACTTTGTTGCTGCCTACTAGTTGGTATTTACGGCTTATGCACCCACACAGCGTAGAAGGAATCCAGGAAATCTGACACCAAATCTATCTGCCACACCACAGTCGTATCACCATACTACATGTACCTACCTCTTTGCTGCCACAGCGAGAAAGGGCTTCCAGAACAAGAGACCTACAGATTGTCAGACTGTCTATAGCAACATGTGTGTAACTTTTCCCCACGGTGCTCATAGAGCCAACGCCTGTATTACTATTTCCCTCAAAGTGTTGACAAGTGGGGTATCCCCAGAATGTATCCCGGCTTTGACCAGGATAAGGAATTGGCTAGCCATATTACCAGTACCGTACATGACCAGAGAGAAATAATTGGAACGGCTAATTTTGCGAGCCACAGGCTTGTGGATCTCCCCAGAAAATGAAACCTGTTCTTGAATCGAATAAGTAACAGGCTAGCTTAGACACGTTAGCATGATGCCAGGAATCAGCGACACTCAATACAGTTTTCCAAAGTATGCAACCTTCAAGGTACGTGTACCTATTGAGCCTTTCGAGAGCGTTCTGGAAGAGGACACCACCTCTCTCGCCAAGCAGCTGGTTTCCCATTTGAGATGCTATTCATCCTACATACCGACATAGATGTAGACTAATCTACGTAGATC